ACGCTTACTATTTGCAATATTTACGGATCTGGGCAAGCCGACGTATCGTCCGCCCAAAGCTTTCCCAATTCCCATGCAGAATTCCTTATCCTATTTCCTACTCTGAACCTCCACTGTTCAAAAAGGCCTCACAGTTTCGTATTCTCAAAGCCAAATGACATCCAACTAAGCATTTGGAGCACCAATAATTATTCTCCCAGTCAACTTTTAAAAGAATTTCAAATATATATATATGTATGTAAATCACTCTCTACAATATTCTATTCAAATTTTCTTTGTGATGGGTGTTAGATTTCATTATTCGATTCATATTCTTTCTTTTTACTTACTGTACACGTCATGACGTTGACTCTTATTTTGTAGGGCACAAATCCAAAATAAAAGATCTTGAATGTAAAAAATAATTACAACTATATGTCAACAATGGTCTGGACACTCATGATATCAAAAAAAAAAAATGCAACCATATGTCAAATGATAACGGCTATCTAATCAAATTTGTCCAATAAATAGAGAAACTYGTAGAAAGAGATTGGAGTAGAGGTGACCATGAAGCTTATATTACAACGAGTGGAAATCTCTTTATATTCAAGAATAGAACCAGCGATTACGATAAAATAACACAACTGTTAAAATACATCCTATAAAGATCGAGTTGGATATGTATGTATAATAGAAGTTAACATGCAAGATAGTTTAATTACAAGTGATATGGGATAAAATACCAAACTACTGTGTTAAGTGAAGAGAGGCTTGACCTTGATTAGAGAACGTTGCAAATTGGATGTTTTCTCTTCGGCTTCTTGGGTTTTGGAGGTTGAAGAACCACCTTGATTGCAGCATCAAAGACAGCTTTTACATTCTGCATTGCAAAAAAGAGTTTCATTTGGATTAACTTTCCCCAAGTGATTTTAGAGAGCCCATAAAAAAAGGAAAAAGTAATATATATATATATATATATGAGTATGTAGAAARATCGAGTGCGTTTAGTAACAAATAAAAATCACTTTTGCAATAATTAAAAAGTGATTCTAAAGGCCTCCCTTGAGGCAAGGGCATAAAGTCTCTTGGTAACACCTAGCAAGAGATCCCATGTTCAAATCTCCGAGTGATTTAATATCAAAATCCGATGTCCCCCAGGTCCAGGCCTTCGAATGAATGTGGGTGCTCCCGATTATAAAGAAGTAAGCAAAAAGCTAAATAGATTCAATTTCAGGTTATAAAAAAATTTATTTGTAAAGTAATTGGTCGAGAATCACTTTATGGTAATTTAACATCTGTAGAATCACTTTTAAATGTAGTGCAACCAAAAAAACTTATCACTTTTATGAAAATGTAACCAGACACTGTAAGTACTTTAATTAAAACTATTTTAAAGAAGTATTTTAAGAAAAAATAGTTATCTAAAAAAGTTATTAAAATAGAAGTTTTGTCAAAATAACCTTGGGGTATTATATTCGGTTTTAATTAAGAACAGAAGACCACAAGTTAGAGAAAGAGTTAACAAGTCCCTCCAATTTCAATTGAAGCTTGCCACATTGAGCTAATGCATGCAGTCATGAGCAATAAAATGACAGGTCCACAAAAACAAACACATTAGGGTATCGTTTGGGTATGGTAAAAGTTATGTTTTAGTCCTACTTTAGTTCCCAAAATCAATTGAAATCGACGAAGTATATCCAAAATGATCCAAACAACTATTTTTTAGTTTATGCTTTAGACACTTGAAATGATAAGTTGATCCTAATGCTATTAGGATAGAATTAGGAATATTATTAGGGCACTAAGGGTAGATTAGTAATTAGATAGAGAACTTGTTAGGAAGATTAGATATAACTAGAGCGAGTGGGAAAGGAAGGATTGAGTGAGACAATTGTTTAGTGTGGTTTAGGCTTAAGTGATGTAAAGAAGGGATGGTCTAAGTACCTCGAATTACATAGGAATTATTATAGTCCTTCTATCCTCTTATCTTTCAATTTCAATCTATTCCGGCTATTTGGTTCTATCATGAGGACAATTCAAACTGATCAAACGGACTCAATTCGATTGGTTTCTTTAGTTTTTTTTTGGGTTCAACTTGCACCACTAATTAAAGGGTTAGTTCCTGATCATTTCATCACCCTTCGTGACAATCCGAGCATAGCTGATCCAAGTCCTTCGATGTTTTATTTATGAAGGCTATTTAATTGGCCCTTAAATAGGAGTTGAAATTACTTTTTATCCCTTAATCCATATCTTCTAATATACTAAGAGGCAATTATTACACACCTGTTGTGTCTTTGAGCTGCATTCAATATATGCCACTGCTCCAATAAGCTTCTTTAATTCCTCGCCCTGTCCAGAGAGAGGGGGGAAGAATAAATTAGTTTACTTGTTTTCCTTGAAAGTTTGGGAAGAGGGAGTATGAACAATAAAGAGACTGCAAAGCACTCTGTGATGGGAGTGTGGTGGTAGTTTTAAGGAAAGCAAATTCAGCAAGGATATAATGGGCGAGATTCAAAAGGAAAATGAAGTAGTTCCAATTACTGACCTGTTTCGTCGATATTGTATGTGCCCCGGGATAGTCCAAGAGGAATCGTCCGTCGTCTCTCAGATCTGCCATCCCAAGTAACAGCAATAGGACTTTCAATCAGAACAATACCACACAATGCAACGAACAGATTTGTGGGACAAGTGTAGGGGCGGGTGGGGGACGAGGAGGAGCTTCAAGAATAATCTTCCCCTAGAAATTACAGAACAATGAGACACACATTTTAGAGACATACATTTTAGAGACACTACCATGCATCATTTTACATAATACAAATACGTCGTCGATATCATGTGAGGGGTACTGGTTTAATGTATGGACTTGCACGTAGAAGATAGATGGCCAAGAAGTTGCGTGCTTTGGTATTGGGAAACGTAGATCTCTAATTAGATGATTCGTTTCTTTTCATGGTGACCTGAAATTGGTAACTCTTTAGCTTTTACCCCTATGATTGGGGGCACCCGCCCCGGGATCCAAACTTGGGAGACATCAAAGATTTTTGGTATTATGCTCACCCCAAGGTTCCAACACAAGATCTTATAGTAGGTGATACCATAAGGCCCCAATCGCTCCTCAAGGCTTTTAATTAGTGATATTGAAACACACATATTCATCTAATGGCGTTTGTGAAAAGTTAACAGTGGCATTCCCATGTGTGGAACCATCAGAAAAATTATGAGAATTTTACTTAAGAGAGAAGGAACTGATAGTTCGGGCAATGAAATTAGATTAAAGTTAAAGAAGAAAGGCACCTAGTTTGGTCCCTACAAGAATAATGGGCACTGATGGGGCATAATGCCTTAGCTCTGGGATCCACTGTTCCAAAAGAAAAAGACATGAAGAATAATTTAAATACCATATAAACAATAATGATAAGCATAGCCAGAATTAAGGAGGAAAACGAACTTACTTTCTTGGATACATTTTCAAAGCTGGCCCTACTTATGAGCGAAAAGGCAAGAAGGAAAACATCAGCTCCTCTGTAACTCAAAGGTCTCAGCCTGTTATAATCCTCTTGACCTGTAAAGGGATCTTTTAACTTCTRTACAAGACTTAGATACACAGTCAATTTCGTATTCGAAGGCTGAAGAAACTAGTGGCAATATCTTTTTTTTTTARAGAATGTTATCCGAAGTTATGATATTTTATCAAGGTTTCCAACATTCATGGTGATATTTCTGGAAGATACGAACCCATCAAGTGCCCTTCCAAACAAGGACTTTTGTTCTTTATTTGGATTTTCGATTATACCGATAAAATAAGAAGTAAAAGAAGGAATAAAAAATAACTAAAGCGATGTTGTTATTAACAAAACGTGTGAAGAAGAACCATCATGGGTTGACCCATTGGTCCAAATGGGCCAAGGTATACTCTAAAGAATTTAGACTGCTACAAACCATGGTGGCCATCTACCTAAAATTTAATATCCTACGAGTTTTTTTGGCAACAAAATATAGTAAAGCCAGGCGGTTGTCCCTTGAGATTAGCCGAGGTGCACATGAGCTGACCCAACTCGGACACTCACGAATATAAAAAAAAAAAACAAGTGAGGAAGAAGATGAAACTAGCTCTGGAGTAGCTTATGAACTGGACAGATTTGGAAGACACATTCTGATAAGAACAACTCTGTAATATAGTTTCGTTTTAAAGTGCATCTTAATTTCCTCTTATGGAATTGATATAACACTTCCAGATATCCATATGCTATAGCTATTGATGACACAAGAATTTTCTCTATGACAACAAAACTTGAATGAAAATATTACAATATGTTAGTTAAACTATCCTATAATTTGTGTTTAGTTTCATTCTGATCCTATGATCTTAAAAGTTTCATTTGGCTTGAAGTTTGGTTAAATCTCCTAAATCATCGCTCCAGTTGCTAGGTGTTAAGATTCTTACTTTTTTCTTTTTCTTTTTTTGACTTGGCGAGGACAGGCAACTAGCTTTAAGACTAAACAGACGATAAAATATAAATCCCAGAAAAGAAAATCCTGACAATTTAATAACAAAATTAACAGAGGAGGCATGCTAATCAGAAACAGAACAAAAGCGAAATTACCAGCAGTATCCCAGAGACCCAAATTCACAGACTGCCCATTAACCAAAACATTGGCGCTGAAGTTGTCAAACACAGTAGGAACATAATCCTGTCAATGCAAAACACATCATCAATCAGAGAATTTCTCCCTTGAGAGAAACAAAAGTGCAGCTGCAGATAACCTAGAGAGTCCAAGAAAACAAGCAAGAACGGTAAAATCAAACAGAACTCGAGAAAAAAAAAAGAAAAAACAAATAGACGAGGTCGTACAGTTGGGAAAGTGTTGCTGGTGTAGGAAATGAGAAGGCAGGTCTTCCCAACGGCGCCATCTCCAACCGTCACGCATTTGACGAACTTCCCAACAGCAGTGGCGGCGGCGGCGGACATTGTCGACTGATTCTGCTTCAATGGAAGAAAATTGAGAGAATCTGGATGAAGACCCAGATAACAGATTCCCCTTTTCTTGTCTCCCTCCGTTGAAACTACTGGAGATTGGAAGAAGAAAAGGAGAAATTTGGGAGGAGAAAGTGGAAGGAAGGTTTGAAGAAACTTCTGGGGGAGGGAAAAAGAAGCATTGATTGGTGAAATTGGGTTTGATTTGAGGCGAAAAGAGGAAACAGAAGGCACCCACACAGAGAGAGATGAATCAAAGAGCATCAATTTTGGAAGAAATTGAATGAGATGTTTGGACGCGCTGGCGCCACTTTCTTTCCATTTCTATAAAACATAGTGGAAATTCAAATCTTCCGTTGTAGAAATGACAAATTACACGTGCATATGTATACTTTTTTAAATTTATTAGACAAAATTAAAAAAAAATGTGTTTAATGAATGCTTAAACTTTTATCAAAATTGAGTGATAATTGATATATATCTCCAATCAAAAGTATGTGAGTTTGATCTCCCACTTCTACTCTTCCTTCATCCTCTCTCTTCCCTCTCTATAGTATTTTTTTATCTCTACATTTTTTTCTATCGATCGTCGCTACTTTTTTATTTTAAAACGAAGTTCTCAAATTAAGTTGAGTTAGGTCCAAATTATTCAAGATAGTAACACAAAGTAATATCAAAATAGCTTAAAATTACATCTTCACTCCTATTAATTTGGTCCTTTTTTTTCCATCAATATGCTCTTTTTTTCTATCGATCTACTCTTCTTTTCTCTCCTTTCTCTTATTTATTTTTTTCTCTCTTCTCTTTTTTTATGGAGATGAAAAATATAAAAGATTATGAGAAAAATTTGAAAAGCAAAATAAATAATCTCAGAAACAAAATAAAGAAATAGAAATTTGAGAAAGGGAAAATTAAGGAATATAAAAAATTCAAAAGTAAAATAAAGAATCTAAGAAAAAACTTAAAAAAGAAAAATAAGGAATAAAAAAATTGAAAGGGAAAAATAAAGAATCAAACTTAAAATTAATTGTTTAAAAAAAAAAATAATTTCACGGGATAGTGAGGTGAGAAGTGAGAAATAACAAGTTTTTTTTATATTCGTGTCATGTGTCATTAGCGCCTCCAAATTCATATCATTCCTGCGTTTATCTCAACTCAGAGCTTCGTCCCGGAAAATCTGGCTAGGGTTTTTGCACTGGATTTGTCCCTCTTCGTCTTGTTCATATTTTCCCTTTTCTCGCGTACTTCTCTGGGAGGATATGGGTCAATTCTTTCATCTTCAATCCATGAAAAGAAATGAAATCAAGGAAATAAAATGGAGAAGCGTAGAATTTAATCCAATCCCTAACGCCAACCGTGTCAATTTGAAGGTATCAATATAAACCTGTAGAATTGAATCTTTTGATTTAGCGTTATCAACCTTATGATTCAATCAAACTCGTTTCTATGCAGCTAACTGTAATCTAAGATTGTGGGCACCATTTTTTGAGCTTTAAGCTTTTTGATTATGCAAATGGCATTATTCAGAGCAAGGGCATTCTTACGTAAAGGCTTTTCAACATTTGCTTCTCCTCCTACTCACATTTGCGTAGTTGGGAGTGGACCTGCTGGTTTTTACACTGCTGAGAAGGTGGATTTTTCTACTGGTTTGGCGTATAAAATATATTGGCGTGTATTGAAATTAATATATCTTATTTTTGTGAACTGCATCAATAGCTGTTGAAGGCGCATCCCGATGCTCAAGTTGATATAATTGATCGTTTACCAACCCCTTTTGGTTTAGTGCGCTCTGGCGTGGCACCCGATCACCCGGACACAAAGGTAAGAGGATAACCTTGCTTTATTATTTATTCTCCATGCTTGTAGATTTTGAAAGTGCTGCATAAGTTGTATGTGCGATTGAAGATCACGTTACAATTGATTTTGAAGATTTCTCTACATTCTTCTTCTTCTGTTCTGTTGATGTAATTTCGGTTGGAACTGGTAGAGACAATCTCATTCATATTTGAGCTTGCATGCGTCTATTTCCTGTTAACAAGAAGAAAATTTATAATAATGATTTATTTGGACTTTTAAAAGATTGCTGTTGTCTGTGCTCAACAGATTGTGGTCAATCAATTTACTCGGGTTGCACAACATCCAAGGTGTTCATTCTTTGGTAATATCAAGCTTGGATCTTCCATTTCATTATTGGATCTCCGTGAGCTGTACCATGCGGTTAGTTTTTGGGGTTCAGACACATGACGATAATCAACGGCTTCTTTCTTATTTTCTAAATGATTGTGCACATTTAATCAGGTTGTGCTTGCATATGGAGCAGAAAGTGACAAAACTCTCAGCATTCCTGGAGAAGTAAGTTTAGTTATAACTTATAACTAGAGATTTTGTACTTCTAGTTTATTGCCGCCTGGTGGATTGGTTCATCATAGTTCGTACTGCCTAAATTTAAAATGATAATTTTGCAATCATAATGAAATTGGATTATTTTTTTTCTTATCTTTCCTAAACCATTGATGGAACTCAAACTAGTAATTCATATATCTGTTAGTTAAACACATTGACTTTGGATATCATATCTTGTTATAGGATTTGTCTGGCATACACTCGGCCAGGGAATTTGTTTGGTGGTACAATGGACACCCAGATTGCAGAAATCTAAATCCTGATGTGAAGGCTACTGATACCGCTGTAATCCTTGGCCAGGTAACTCCAAGCTATTCAATTAAAATTTATATTGATAGAAATTTTAGTCAAGCAATTTTACTTCTATTTCCTAATAAATTCATGTGACGTGGGAAGAAACATGTAGCTTTTAAGATAGATTGAATGACAAATTGAAATATGTTTCTAACCTCTAGGGAAATGTAGCTCTAGATGTTGCACGCATCCTTTTACGACCAATACCAGAATTGGCAACTACAGATATTGCTAGTCATGCATTGGAGGTTTTGCAGGAGAGCTCTATAAGGTTTCTTGTTTTTGTGTTTATTATAGCTTCAAGATTAATTCTAGTTTTCTTCTTATCTTTATTGTTGGTCATATAATTATAGGAAAGTGTTTTTGGTTGGAAGACGTGGACCAGTTCAAGCAGCTTGCACTGCTAAAGAACTACGTGAAGTTCTTGGTATTCTTCGGCATCCTTAAAATTGATTTTGATGTTTATTTGCAATACTCTTGTACCATTGTTGTTGAGACTAATCTAAGTGGGAAATTATTTTTTATTTTTATTTGTCAAGCCTAAACATGTTTTGAGTTACTCATATCTCTATTATGTCCTGGGTAATCAATCTTTATCATGTTCTACTTCCTTCGTTTGTATGTATATGTAATATTTTTATCTCGTGAAAAGAACAGTGATACAGACAAAATGACTGTGCGTCCTATTAGTTTAATCTGTATGCTCTTATGATTGGTTATACTACAATAGAGTTCTCATCTCTTTTGATTTTTGCATTAGCATTTTGCTGGTATAATATGTCATGGGTTCCACTGTCTATTTTTCAAACCATTACTGATGATATTATATTATTAGTTGGTTTAATTTCTTCACTGCAGGTATTAAGGACTTGCACATTCGCATACATGAATCTGATTTGCTCAAGAGCCCAACAGATGAGGTATAATTCCACTAAAGTTATTTTACGTTGACTGATGAGATTTTATGGTGTTCTCTAAAAATAAATGTAGTATTTTAGTTCTCTCTATCTTTAGGGGGTGGTGCAGTTGGCTATCATGTAGGTCTCATAGCTTAAGAGTGATCCTTAGATCAAGACCCCCTCTTTCTCTCTTTCACATATACATCCACATCCACACACCCAAATAGACATTATGCTGTCTTATCAATGGCACCCTCGTTAATACTGTCGTTTGAAAAGGAAGAGGTGAAAAACAGTCGAATACAGAGGAGAGTTTATGAGTTGCTTGCTAAGGCTGCTGCCTCTGGACCTCCCCATTCTGGCACAGGTCTACGCGAACTGCATTTTATTTTCTTCCGGAAACCAGAGAAGTTTTTGAGTTTAGTAGACAAAAAAGACCATGTTGCTGGTGTTCGCTTTGAAAAGACAGTTCTTGAAGGTAACTGTCTGTGATTGTCCTTTTTCTTATGTGTCCTGATTAGATGCATGCCAATTATGTAGGCTGAAGAACTTATTTCAATAGATTTTTCCCAAGCTCATCAAAGATGATGTTATGAAATAGTGATAGATTTTGGAAGTCCAATTTCTTTTGCTCGTTATGCTTCATTTTTCCCTTATTATTGGAAATTACTTATGGTCCTTCACAATGAGATACATCCCAGCCCATCCTAGTGTGTCCTTATGCTAGTAAGTGCTTTATTTGCTTTTGTTCTGTAGGTACTAGTTCTGGAAAGCAAATAGCCAGAGGTACTGGGGAGTTTGAAGACCTTGACTGCCAGTAATTTTCAATTTTTAAAATTTCAATGTTTTTTATGTAGCAAATTTTACATTATACTATTTGTTAGGATGGCACGTTAGCCTATCTGCAAGTGTCTATTGAAATATTTTTATTTTGTTGGATGTATAACTATTCAGCAGAAGCGTGTATTTTTCACTTGCCTGCACAACGATTTTTTTTCCTCATTGCCCCCACGGGGTGGCCCAATTGGCAGGGGCTTGGTGCCTCTTGATCATACTGACTTAGAGGTCTTAAGTTCGAACCTTCTGGTGAGCTTAATACTAAAAATCTTTGATGTCTCCGAAGTCCGGGCCTTGGGGTGATCGCTAGTACCCCTGGGTAAAGGGGAGCAAAGCTCCGACTCCCATCTATAAAAAAAAAGATTTCTTTTCCTCGTTACATGGATGAATTGTATGAAAACTTTTCACTCATTGAAGTTAGAACTTGTTGTCTCTCACATATTTTTTGGAAAGAGAAATAGAGATTTTATTGATCAATGAAACGAACAGTAGGGGATAAAACCCAAACCGACGTTTACATAAAAGACTTCCAATTTGGACAAAGACTATAATTTGCAAATGGGGGGAGCATTTACACCAAGATAAAGCAGCTCTCTCACACACAATTTAAAATTAAAAAGATATGAGATAGTAAATATGAATATGTATTTTCTTTGTGTTTTAGCAGACATAGTAGGTTATTTATTTTCTGTGAAAAAATGCTCATCTAGATTCAATTGCTTTCTCGATAATTTAACTCAACTTTTTGTAGGATGGTGCTGAAGAGCATAGGTTACAAATCGGTGCCAATTGATGGTTTACCCTTCGATCATCAGAAAGGTATGAGATTAAGATTTCCATGAGACCTCTGTCTACCCTTATTTATTTCTTTAGTTTTCATTTCTTACTTGTGCTGATGTCGTAGTCTGTTCATTATTTCCATGTACTCAAGTTGACTCGTTTTTCTTTATTAACTACCACGAAGAAGTAATAGGAGAAAAGAAAAGAAGAAAAAAATCATGTGCAACATCAAGAAAGGCTGTGGATCGAATATGTATCCGACAAGATTGCTTCATATTTTGAATGCTTTTTGCAGCTTTACTTTTCTACCATCTGCACTGGAATTAATAAACTCTCCTCATGTCTCGGTTTATTAATTTATCCACCGAGCTACCGTGAAAAGACTTCTTTTGTAACGTTTTTCTTTGCTGATTGTTCCATTTCCAGGAATAGTACCCAATGTGAGAGGTCGAGTTGTAAGTAATACTTATGGCGACGCCGTACAACTTGAGAAAGGATTGTATGTATGTGGGTGGTTGAAGAGAGGACCAACTGGAATTATTGCAACAAATCTCTATTGTGCTGAAGAAACAGTGAGTATTCAAATCCATCTCTCCTCCTCGGCAATTGGTTTTCTTTTGGTTTCTTCATTATATTTGTTTCGCTCGGCTTATTATGGTAAAACGTGAAGGAATAGACTAGATGGGGGATAATTGAGCAAAAACGAATTTCAATAAATAAATTAGAGGGACACCCAAAGGGGGGGTGCCCGTAGAGATACCCTCCATAGTTTTGGATTCAACCTCGTGTGGGGATGGATATTCAAACCTCCGACCTTTTAGTCGAAGATGCCTTAACCAGTTGAGCAGAATATAATTAATTTTAATTAATTTTTACTTCAAGCTTTGGGGATTTCATTTTTAGACAACCCAGTATCTTCTATTTATGATGTAACCATGGCCTTGATCATCCTTATCCTGCCACAAATCCTTCACCATGACAAATATTATGGAGTTCGATCCCCTAAAAGCTTATATATACGCATACATAGTTTTCTTTTCCATTTTTTAACCTTCTTCCATCATTGATTCATCAGGTCACGAGCATATGTGAAGACCTCGATAAAAGAGCATCGGGGTCCTTGTCTAGCTTATCGAAACCCGGGAGAGAAGGTCTCCTCCACAAACTAGACGATCGAAATGTAAGAGTTGTGCCGTTTAGCGCCTGGGAAAGGATAGACTCTACAGAAAAGAGGCTTGGGAATCTGAAGAACAAACCAAGAGAAAAGTTAACCACTTGGGAGGAGCTACTGAAGGTGGCCATGGAATGAGTAAATTATGAAGACTCTTTCTCATGAACACTCCTTAGAGGATGAAACCATTTTCTTGCAAGAGGTTCCAGAGAAAGCCCCGGGGCGCCCTTCCTAGCTGCTCCGCTTCGTTATTTCACTTCTACTTTAGGGACAACCTACGAGACCCCGAAGTATCGAGCCATTTCCATTCTGATCATGCTTTCATCTCCTAATATTCAAGACTGTAATGGGCAGTCGACTCTACTCGGAGTGTCAGTTTTTTGCCTGGTATGTAGATGGAATCGACTTCCAATCGAACAGTTAGTCAATAAAATAGGCTAAACATTCTTTTTGTGGTGCAAGAAACACCACATATGAAGTTATGAACAAAATTATGCGTTGACATATTGTAAAATTTTCACTTGATTTCTGCAAGGCTTTTGAAGGAATTTTTTTTACCCTTTTGCATAAAATGATGAAATCATCTAGTAGACATTTTCAGGATTTTTTTTTCTTTTATGCGTTGACATATTCGATTTTTTTCTTAAAAAAAAAACCATAAGAAAATTACATCTTGGCCGAGTTTTGTTGGGAGTGTAACAAATGTTACATATCGATTAAACAAAAAGAAAATAAGCAAATGGCCAAAGTTTTAAATGACTTCGAGAACTAAACTGCTGGGCCAGTTTGCAAATGAAGACCGAATCACCGTATTTTGCTCAAAATCAATCGGTTCGATTTGGACTTCATTCGGTTTTTTTCTTCTCTTAAAAAAAAGAAAGCCGTTGCATGTAAACCACATGCTTCCTCTTGCATAGAACGCATAAAAGAAGAGCCGATCAATCCATAGAAGTTTGTCCGGTTTTAGCCTAAACCGAACCGAACCGAAAAGTTCGGTTTATAACATACGAAGCGCGCAACCGGTCCGATTATCGGTTCGACGGTTTTTTTAGTACCCTTGGCCCTTTCCGCACGATACAATTACGTATAAAATGAGACTGATTCTCTCTCCTCTCCGGAATTTCACAGATTCGCTTCAAGAGACCTCCATTTTCCACTCAGAGAAAGCTTCTTAGCCATGGCTTCCACTACAAGGGATTCGGCACCGCCGTATGCCAGTGCTGCCAGGATTTCTGATTCTCCTTGTTATCCTCAGTACAGCGCTTCCCTCAAATGTATGTTCGCGCTCTTACTCAATTTCCGTTTTTCTACGATTCTCCGTCAGACGTCAGAGTGTTAATTACGTATCCATTTGCACTTATTCTAGTGGTTTCCTTGAAGATTATTGCGTGCCGTGCATCAATTTTTTAAAGTATGTTCTGGTAGTTAAACTCGCGAATTTATTGTTAGTGATGATGAAATGGAACCTTTAATTTTCATGGCGATTCTCTAATCTCTGTTAGTTGAATAATTGGTTAGCCTGTTTTGTTTCCTTTTCTAGGGGTAGTGTTTCCATCTTCTACCTTAGTTCAATTAATGAAGATTGTTCAACTAGGGTATTCTTGATTGAACCGTCGTGACACTTCTTAGAGTGGATTTGTGTTGAGTTCACTTACTGTTCTAACAATGACAATAGCGGAGAAGGAACTTTTACTAGGATTTTCAAGCCCTTATCTTGATTCCCCGTTCCTTTGGGCAAAGGCCAAGTTCTAATTTAAAATGTCAAATTAGGAGTAACTTAGTTTGATGGTTCTTCCGCCCCAAAACTAATTTAGTTATCATTCAACATCTGCAATCTAATCCGATTTCATCTTGGCTTGTTCTTAGAGCTACATTCATAAGATAGTTTTAAGTGTTTTTGGAGGTCGTTGTGTGTATTTGTTTTCATTTAGGAGTAATGATAACACCACATATGGACAGAATTATGCCTTAGAATACATTTAAGGCAGAAGCCTCGAGCTGCGTCTTAAGTCAAGGACAAATGTTTTAGCCTCGACCTCAAGGTTTTTGCACTCTTATCTAAAACTTTAAGATTGTGCCTTATAGATTGTTTCTGAAAAGCATGCATAATTGTCGCTAGCTGATAAATCATGTGTAAAGTGAAATTTAATCTTGTATGGATGATGTAATTTGAATTTTTAAACGAATACAATCGTTGTTGATCTTCAATTTTTTACTATTGACTAGTTGGTATTCTGATTACTAATTTCACCAATTTGGAATTTTCTATTTTACTTCGTTCTATTTAGAATTTATGTCAGAAAACATTTTTTTGTCTTCTTATCATAGAAAGTCTCCTTTTGCAAATGCTTTAGGTCTTGAAGAACATAGCTCAGAGAAGAACAAATGTCAAGAACATTTTGACGTTTACAAGGAATGCAAGAAAAAGGAGGTATTTTATTTTTTCAGTCATCATATGTAATTAAGCAGTGATAAGAGTCTATTTCCATTTGTGTGTGTGTGTGTGCGCGCGCGTGTTTGGGGGGGGAGGGGGTGTGAAATTTTGTGATATGTGATACTGAAAATATATGCTCAAGATTTATGGGAGTTTTACCTAAACTGGGATGATGGTACCTCAGTTAGCCAAGGTTGACCTTTACTAGTTATAATTTGTTATGTTTTTTGCCTCTTGAGGTTGTGCTCATTTGCTTGTGAGGTTTATGGATCAGGGAGATCAAATGCCCTCATTTTATTAGGACATTATTGGAACTGACTATTCATACCACTTCAGTTTTCCAGTTTCAATAAATCATGTGTTTGATCTTAAACGATACAAAATATAGCTTTGCCCCCAAAGTTTATAAATCATGTGTTTTACATGTTCTGGATCTTGTCTTTGTTGTTTAGAACTTTAGCAAAAGACTCAAAGTGTCATGACTCATTTGTTGTTACCTGATAACTGATAAGTGATACCTCATACCTCCACCCTTTGATACTGATTTTCTTTAATCTTTCAACTTCTTCGCCTATGCTAACACGATGATATGAACTATGTAAATGTTTGTTGGCAAGATAATAGAATGTCATTTTGTCAATAATTCTTTCACTGAAATTTTAACGTTGGGAATGGAATGAATTTGAAACCTGTCAAACCTTAAGAACTAAAATAGAACTTTTTAAACTTTGGGGTCCAAATTAGAGAAGATGAATTTAAGCCTTAAGAACTAGAAGTTACAAGGATACTATTATAGATATTATGGCCCATAAGATGGAAATATTATTTGGTTCATGATAGGGTTGATAACTTCTTTGTTTTCTTTTCTTTCTTCATACCGGATAATTTTAACCCTCTGCCTATCTATATTCCGTGAGGAACATTGTGCAAAGTGCTTCCATGATATTTCCTATCTATGTTAAGTAAATATAGTGATGTTTCATAGGCTGTCCGGAATCGGATCCTATCTTTTCTCATACATTACTTCTGTTTATAAAGCTTCTAGATCCAATGAATTCTGTCTCCTTTTCAGCGGGAAGCTCGACTGGAACGCAACAGGAAACGGTCTTTCTTTTCGTGAATTTATCTTTGGGCATTTTGCTTGATGTTAAAGTATGTAAGTTTAGTAAGCTATCTAGTATCTACATACATTCATAGTCTTCTTGTAGCTGTAGATTTTTTTTAATCCAGTGCCTCATTGAGATAATAATGCAAAGTGTATTACTGACTTGCCGTTGTTCGTCCACTAATAAAAGATACCATCTTATGCATATTCAATTATCTCTATGTTGCCGGCGTGAGCTATAATCCTCATACCCCACATTGTACTCAAAATAATATATACACACACGTCGATGTTGATAAATCCTCATTGTTAGAATACAGGAAATTGTAAACATGGATTAATCCTCGATTAGTTTTGAATAGTTTGAAGACTATAACCCCTGCCGAGGCATTGAGCAATCTGGTATATGCAATTATGAGTTACGGCAGAAATGATGTTGATAGAGATACCAGAAGAGAGCAAGCGATTGACATCAGTAACGCATGTCTCTATCAATACTCTGATTTTTTGGGTACTGTCATTAAGTTTTATATACATTTCTAATAGATGCTATTAATAACATGTTCCATTGTAGATTGTTTTTTAGGATAATAAAATTTTAATCTTTTTTTTTTAAACAAGATTTGAATCTAGTTGAACTATGAAATCTGAATTTGGTTGGACTATGACTGAGTTACATTTCATGACCTATTTTCCCGAGGCTATTTAAGTTAAGCAAAAATAATTATACTGCAACTTCGCCTTTGTATTGAACAGGACTTTGTACTGCATTAAGACTTAGTGTGGAAGAATTCGCAGGATGTATGTATGTATAAACAATAAAGTAAATATATTTATTATAAATATAGCAAAATTTAAAATAAATAAAAAAACATAATACGGATCACGCTTTTGCCTATTACTATTTGAGAAGATAAAAAAGATTATAATGCTTTCTGGCATTTCTCTTCAATCTGTTAAATATATAGACGAAAATACACTGAACTATTTAGGTACAACTTTATTTTTCTTAAAAAATAACTCTTAACGGGCTTCCACATAATTTACTTCACTAGTATATATACTCTCTACAAATTTAAAATTTGTTATTGGTTTATACTAATGTAAGATGCATCTTTTGTCAAAAAAAAAAAAAAAGACATCTGAAACGTATTTCAAATATCTAGAGGTAATAAAATTTCATTGCATCAAGAATTTTCTAAATTTAGATACCCCATTATATATTAAAAAAAATTGCTGCTTGACAATACTCTGCTGCAATTGACATATACATACATATATACGTCCGTGTGTGTATATTGTAAATATCGGAAAGCAAGACCAATTCAGTTCAATAAAGTAGAGATGTCGCAGTTTCAAAAATCCAGGATATTAAAAATTATCTTCTAAATAAGCAGAGCTATTAAAGCTCTGGAGTTTCAACTTGAAATGAAGTCAAATGGGTACTCAAATTGCCTCCAAGAACTCTACACTATCAAACTAGCAAAACTCAAGACAAAAGAAATACAAAATCTTAATCAAACTTAGCTCTCAGTCTGCTCCCTCAGCCTTCGGATCGTGCTCCGAACGGTAACGGCACTTGCAGTGCTGCCCAAAGCAAAAACATAAAAAGGAAACAGAATCAAAACCTTGGTCATGAATCAAATGCAGACACGTGATAGGAAAACAAGCATCAACTGTACTCACTTCAAAGTGTAGGCACCTCCTGCTTTCACCTTTCCACAGTCCTTGCAACCCCATATCCCAACAGCCTTCCTCTTCACAGCATACTGGTACGGATTTGATACAGCAGTCATTGATTAGAATCATGGTATAAATTTTATATCATGTATATGTTCTGATTAGTGATTACATTACTACTATAAATTGTCTGGTTTCGACTTTTCAAAACACCATAGAAATGTCTTAAAAAAATTATAAGAAACAGAGATAAAAATATCACCAGTATGAATGGGTATACGAATAGTAAATATGTATATTTTATCTATGAAGTGAATCCAATAATTCCTCTAGTTTCTTAATTTTCATGATTATTAAAGGAATATTAGTTGACCAATATCCCCAAAAAACTGAAACCTAGACATTACCATAGAGATCGACATCTAATCCAGAGTAGGAGCTCTTTGTTGTCAAGCTTCTTAACCATTAAATAGCCATGAAGAGTATGCTGGATTAAGAGATTACCTTTCCACAAAACTCGCAGAAGTATTTGCTGTGCTGACTGACTTCCATCTTCTTAATTTGCTTCCTCAAACTAGCACCATATCTGGTACCTGTAAAGAAGGCACCGAAAGAGGAAATACCCAATTGAATAAACTTAAAACATTATATCAAGATCAATTAAACCATCTGCGTAGTGTTCATTGAAAGCTCTCTATTTAGAAACCATCAGATTCACTTGTTTTCTCTCATATAGGGAGTACGAATTTTGTTTCGGTCAATGTTAACATACCGTATTTCCCGACAATTCCAGCCTTCTTGGTTCTCTTCGTCTGCGATTATACAGTAAAACAAATAGCATAAAAGTTAGCAAAATACATCAATCCATCCAAAACAAATAGGATATAAAGAAAGTATTAGACGTAGAGCCTCGCTAAAGAACAAAATTCTTCAAAAATCTCTTCAATCCTGATTCCTCTCTTTAAGAGTGTGGAAACAGAGAACAGTAGTAAAAATATCGCAAATTAACGAAAACTAGAGAATCGTATAGTGCTTATTCACTTTTCTGTATTGAACAACTCTTTAGCTGCCTAAGATCCATGAAATCAGATCGATAATCCAGTACGATCTTTCTTCCCATTCCAGTCTCTCATATAACCTCCCCAACACTAATTTAATCCTACAGATTACAGGCCTCGCTTCTTGCCTTCAAAACTTCAAAAAATACTTCCAAGAATCCTCAAAAAATCCAGAAACAAAAACGTGGTACATAAGAACATGAAACCCTAGAAGCGAGAGTGAGAGAGAGAGCACCATTGTTGAGGATTAGCAGCAACGAGCACGCCTGAAGAAACGCTGGTGCAGAGACTGAACGGCCAAGCGGGAAAACCCTAGAAATCCTCCGGCTGATTATATAGCCAACCAAATTACGAGGTGCGTCTCGTAAGCCCTCCGGCCCAAAATTGGTACTAATTGGGCTTTAAAGCCCATCTTGATCTCTATTTGTTAGGCTTAGTTGGAGTCTAGGCCCATCATACTGATCAAAATTAGGAGGCAAACAAACTTTTTTCTTTTTTAATTATGTTTTAAATTTATCTCTTTTTTTTTATAGACAACAAATAAAATCATTACAGATTAGTTTTTATATTGATTTAAAAAATTATTACATTACAAGGATGAATAAATCACAATTTCCACATTTTACCACTCATAAAACTAAACCTATAGCTACCATATTTTTAAAACATCAAGCACATTGACAACATTTTACAATTGTAGTTCAATTACGAGCCATCTTGGCAACGTTATCGTCTCCAATCTTATTGATAAATCTAAGCCTTTAACAATTATTTGTGTTTCTTATTTTTCATTCTTTTTTTAACATTCTCAATATTGACTTATTTATTACAAAATATAAATAAAAATATTATCTTTTTATTCTTCAATTGACTGCCAATAATAATACAAATACAAGTACAAATTATAAGAGTTGAAAGCCATGTCACTCTATTTTTATTTAAAAAAAAAACATTAACCAAATGATTGGACCCATAAAACTTACGGGACAAATAAATTTAAGTTTTTTTTAATATTAAACACAATATGTTATATATTGGGAAAAAAAAAAGCAAAAAGAAAAAAAAAATGTCAAACGTTCAATAGAAAGAATATTTAAATTTAGAAAAAGAAAAAAAAAAATTCCGATTACTCCAACTAACAGAATCCCACTAGTTCTGGATGGTTACCGCTGCATTTCACTTCCTCTCTTCATTCTTCGAATTTTTTTGTTCTTTCTCTTGTTGAAAAATTCAAGCTCTGTACTCTGTTCTCTCTCCCTCTCTTGGACCAAGTCCAAATAAACAAAGATTTCAAATACCTATATTTGATTTGTAAGTTTTCTTCCAACTAAATCCTCACTGCCCTTCCATGAACGCAATTTGATCTTTAGATTCAGTCGCGAATGTGGTTTTTATCTGTTTTGTATGTAATTTTTTGTTTCGGAAGAAGAATCTGTTCGACAATGACTGTAATGCTCAGCATTTCCTTATACTCTTACACCTCATTTTTTGTGCTTTAAATGTTGCTATTTATGCTTTTATACAGCTAGCTATTTTGGTCGTCGTCGCGATTTTTAAGTCCATGCTGCTGCGTCTGAGTCAGTATAGCGTATTGGAATAGTGTTCTTTCAGTTGAGAGATTAGGAGAAACAGCGATTGTAATTTTGAGAAGTCTGTAATGATCATTTCTCTTTCAGGATGAGAGAGAAATTCGTGTAGTTTGAACTACAAAGTTCTGATTATTAGAAACTTGAAAGAGAGAATTTAAGAACTTACTTTTGGTTTTTGGGTTCTGTAGATTATACAGAAGAAGCTCAAAAACATGGAAGACAGATCAGACAAGAATGTCTCATATTGGTAAAAAAACTATTTTATTTTGATGCATTTAGCTGACCCTTTTGTTTTCTTTATTCGTATCTGGCTTGCTTGTTTTGGAAATGGTCACTCATCTTCATTCTGGGCTGCAGGTTGTCTGAGCCTAAATCTAGAACTGATATCGAGTTCCATGTTAGTGGGATGCCCTTCACTTTGAACAGGGTGAGAATGTGGGATTCTGGATTCGGACAAATCTATGTGGTTCTTTTATTTATTTTTGACAGTTTTTCTACAGGAAGTCATAGTAGAAAAGTCGGCCAAGATTGCGGAAATACTGAAAAAGCAACCCGAGGAAAGCATCTGTAGGTTCCTCACAAACATACCAGCTCGTCCTAAAACATTTGAACTTGTGGCAAGATTCTGCTATGGGTTTGAACTGGAAATGTCATGTGAGAATGTGCTTCCTTTAGCTTGTCTTGCTTTCTATCTGGGGATGACTGAAAGTCACAGCCCAAATAATCTGTTGAGAAAAGCACTTACCTTCTTTGAACAGAGAATCCTCCCTAGCTGGAATGAAACCATTCAGGCTTTTCTTACTACAGAAGGTATCATGCAGCAGGCAGTGGATCTAGGCCTCGTTGATGAATGTATAGAGTCTTTGGTCGGCAAGGCAGTGAATGAGCCGTACCTCCTTGGTGAACCGATTGTGAATTTCGTAAATGATGAACTCGGCGAGGATGATGAGTTTCATCACAAGCCCAATGCAAAAAGAAAGCTCTTTATTTCCGAATGGCAGCCAGAGGATTTGACAATTCTGCCTCTTTCATTGTATGAACTGACCATTCATTCTATGAACCAGCACACTGTCCCGCCTAGATATATAGCAGCATCCCTTTTGAAGTATGCAAAGAAGTGGGTTTTTTGCAGCACAAAAGGAGATGAAAAAATGTCAGTATGCAAAACAAACCGTCAGAGGGAAGTCATGGAAGCAGTGGAGAGGCTAATGCCTCATCAGAAGGGACTACTTCCTTGCACAATATTGTTTGAAATACTCCGTTTTGCCATTCGTTTGGAAGCTAATGATAGTTGTAGAAATGGACTTGAGTCGAGGATAGGAAAGCAGCTTGATCAAGCTACAGCAAGTGACCTTTTACTACCTTACCGAGGCTATGCTAAAGAAATGCAATATGATATCGAGTGTGTGAAGCGGATTGTAAAGCACTTCTATAGAGATTATAGTTCAGATATGGCAGGAATAATTGCAGTGGCGAAACTCATTGAGGAATTTTTGTTTGAGGTTGCCGGTGACAGAGATTTGGAAATAAGTGCATTCGTTTCATTAGTGGAAATGTCAACTGCAGCATCAACGGGAACGGATAGAAGCTCTGATCGAATATACAGGGCTATAGATATGTACCTAGACAAGCATAAATACCTGACAGAATCTGAGAGAGAAGAAGTGTGCAAAGGGCTGGACTACCATAAGATGTCGGCTGAAGCTTGTGAACATGCTGCCAAAAACCAGCGATTGCCATTAAGGATTGTGGTACAAGTGCTATTTTTGGTGCAATTGCAACTTCGCGATGCAATAACAAAGGAGATGCAGGCTTCAGATGACAAATTGACTCAGGATGAGGCTGAACTCGATGGAGAGTTGGTCTTAAGTGAAGGAATAGTAAAAATTGAAATGGAGAAAATGAGCAACAAGGTGATGGAGCTAGAGAGAGAGTGTCATACTATGAGGAAAGAGATTGAGGAGGGCTGCATCCACACCGTGAAAAAAGAGAAGACAAGCATGTGGAGAGAAATGAAGAGAAAGTTCGGTTGCATAAATAAGATTAACAATTGCAACTGCCAAGTTAAGAAGAAAAGGGTTCATCCAAAACTATGGCCTTGATTAACAGACGACTGATATAACTATAAACTCTTCTGTAATTATTTGATTTAATGCTTCTGAATTATCGTTCAATTGGTCTTAATTAGTGAATAAATCAACAAGTTTGTGGACATTAAGCCAAAATTTTCCACAAGGTAACTGTTTCTTTACCCACCTTGCTCTTCCATCATCCTGTGACATTGACTTTACAACATGCAGAAATTGAATTGCCAACAAAAAGAATAGATTTTATTGAATATTTTTGATAGGATAAGAATGATGCTTCATAGGAACCATGAGCACTTCGTTGAGATACCAGTGATTATAACTAAGTGCCTTGATCTTGTTGGTTATGTTTTAAATAATCATCACTTAGTTCAATGAAAAAAGAGACAACTAAAATGATGAAGGAAAAGGTACTTAGACATTGAGTTATTATTTTTACATTGTACGACCTTTAGTATCTCAAAAATCAATAAAAATTCAAGCATGGACCAGAATTATGGTGACAGTGATGGAAGGATACCTTGTGGTCCAATTTCTGCAAAAAATCCCAAAATCTTCTTCAAAGTTGAGATGCAGCTTTCAGAATGCTAGTTTAGCCAATCAAGGTATGACCTCTCTGTCTCTGACTGAATCTCTCTCTGTGTGGGTTTCAAACTAAAATCTGAAATATAGGTCAACAGTTTCATCCTCCAAATATGAAGATGATGGGGAACTTGCTCCGTGTCAAACAGGTGTGCGCCTAACTTGAAACCATTTTTCTTGCTATATATGGGTGAAATGGTTTAATCATGAGCAAACCCATTTGATAAAGCATCAATCTCAACCTCAGAAATGGAGGTTGAGATTTAGGCCGTGCAGTTTGCCTGTATTTCTTATTCTTTTTTTATTCGTTTTTAGTGTTCTTCTTTATTTTATAGATATGGTCCCTGTACAAATGTCTAATTTAGATTAATTTATCTTTATAGTCAGTTTCTGACATCAGCACTTTTGTTAAGACAAGGTTGGTTTAAAAGTTCAAAGCTTCACATGGAAGAGTAATATAGAGAAGAAAAGTTAAAATTTAAATATTGAAATTAAAGTTTAACCAAAATTTCCTCTCCTACATTATGTAAAGTGAATTAGGTGGCCCTGCTTAGATTCTGACAACTCTGCATAACACAACAAAGTGAATGAGCATAATTGACAGTAGAAAAGTGCTAATCATTGAGACAATTCTCAGGCTTCAAAAGCACACTGCCTTGAGTTTAAAACTTTTAGAACTCCACTAGAGTGCAGACAATTCTGATCGGTTACTCTCAGCTAAATCCCAAAAAGAAAAAGAAAAATATGAAAACTCTTTCCTAAAGCTCTCACCGAATATGATGCATCAGTAACTTCTTTGAGGAGGCTTGTAAATTGTAAGATGTACACTCAACTTAAGTCCATCCTGTTTGCTAATCTGGTATAAATCTGGGCTTCTTCTGTGATTTCACCAATATATTACAAAAATAAGAGTAAAAGAATTTTCAAATTTTGTACAGTTTGTAAATCTACTGTCAACTGGGAATGATGCAACTCTTCCCTTTTTCATAGTTTGTAAAACCCAGTCTCCCAGTTGAAACAGATCTGTTCATTCCCAAGTTGGAAACCCCATTTTTGTGATTGGATTGGAAATGCTCTTGAACAAATACTTTTGAAGATCCAATTCCCATTTGCATTTCATCTTCCTCTACCTCTTCCTCACTATCTTGACTTTCTCTCAATATATCAGCAACAGAAACCTGCCCTTGCCATGAAAAAGAATCCAAGGAAACTGACCTTCTAAATGGCTGAACAACATCACCAACAACATCATCTTCTCTAACTTGAATCATTCTATCTCTTGGCTCTGAATCTTGACTAACTGATGCAAAACTTTGCCTTTGATTCTTGGAGGAAGCACCATCATTTTCTATCCCCAAAACAGCAGTCTGTTGGCTCACTGTTAAATCCTGCAAATCTTGAACCACTACAACAACTACTGTGTCATTGCTTCTGTGCTGATACTGAAGAGCAGCTGCATTTATGTGTTCTGTTCTTTGAATTTCTTGAGTTGGGGGTGGGAAAAGATTGGTGGGTGAAATGTTGGAGCGGCAGAGAGGGCAAGTGGAGTGAGATTTGAGCCATGTGTCGATGCAGGGAAGATGAAAGGCATGGCTGCACTTTGGCAGCAGCCTTAAGCTCTCATTTTCTTGAAACTCACTCAGGCAAACGGAGCAATCCGTGCCTTCAACTAACCCATCTCCTCGTATGTACTTGCAGACCGTGATGGACTTGATGAGAGCCTCATCCAGGCCTGCTGGAGGAGCTTGGAGCTGGTTTTCATGGCGGATTTGGGCAAGATTCTCTTCATCATCCATTTCCATGGCGGCGGAGGTGGTGGCGGCCCTGTTCCTGCAGTACTTGGAGATGATGGTGTAGTAGCTTACCAAGATGAAGGCGCTGGCCAAGATTCCAATGATGGCGATGATGAGAGGGGAGAAATCAGTGCCAGAATCGCCATTGTTGCCATAGCCAAAAGGTGGAGGTGGTGGGAAGATGATGTAGCACCACTGAGGGCAATATATGCTGCAAATCTCTAAAGAACAGTCCTTGTAAGCATATGGCTGCCATTGATTTGAGTTTCCCACAGAACCCATTTTCCTCTGCCACTTGTAGATCTTGCAGGTACCCCTATTCTCTCTTTTTTCATGTGTTTATGTGGTAAAGACTAGAGAGAGAGAGAGAGAAAGAGGAGAGAGAGTTTGAAGGAGGAGGGGCAGGCAGTAGAAAAAGAAAGCAAAATGGGGGACTTGGATGCAAAGTGAAGGAAAGTGGAGGAGGTAGGAAATTGATATATCACTTATCCTCTCTCTTTCTCTCTCTCTCTTCTTTTTCTTTTTCAATTCTTGTCCTTTCCTTTCACTTTTTTCTTTTGAGTCCTTTCCTTGAGAAACATATCTTGAGCCAAAGAAATAATATCGAAATTAGTTTGTCTAAATTCCTTGTGTGAGGCATTAGGTTTCACTCAAAGTTAAGTGATATCAAGTTTTCCATTGACAAAGGGAAGAAGATGAGTGTAGGTGTGTGTTTGATAAAGCTATAAGTGAACTCTAAGAAAGAAAGGTGGGTGAACTTAGGTAACACTCCCACCTAAATTCTTTTCCCATCCATTGATGTTATTTATAGCCATCTCTTTTGATTTTTCTTCCTCGATTTTTCTCCGATTACCAGAAGAATAACTTTTTCCAGGCATGGACTTGTTTTATCAAACATAAATTTGATATTTTTTTGTTTTAAAAATATGGGAGATTACGATGGAGAATGAAACAGGCCTGGAAATGAAAAGCCTGAGATCATATGGTTTGTAAAATAATTGGACGGTGAAAATAGACGATGGATGTCTTGTTGAATTGATCGAGTTTCTAACTTTTTATTTGGCAGGCAACATTGATAAGGAAGATAAAAATATTAATCAGTACCTCAACAATTTAGGTCTCGTTTGGTAATGTTCCCGTTCCTTGTTCATCGTTTTCAATTTGCTTTAAAAATAAAGAAATAGAAACGTTACCAAACGAGCTYTTAATTATCTTTGAGGAATGTTTTCGATAATATTTTTCCTGAGATTACTATCTTTTTTTACACTATTATAACTTAGAAGTTGTGGATTGTTTTTTCTAATAAATCTATTATGATATCCTTGTATTCCGTCCCACGTGATTAAAATATATAATTTTCGTTTATTTGTACCGATAAATATTTTATAAACATCATTTAAGACAAAATTTTCAAACTTTTTAAAACTTCACTTATTGACAAATGATAGAATAGATTTGTGTRGTCTCGATTCTCTCACTTAATCTCAATCACACATTAAACTAATGATAAAAAAGAGTTTGTTTAAATAAAGTTAATCTCACCTCATTATATTATTATTTTTTTTTAATATAACAAGTGGATGGAAATCAAACTTAGACATTTTTATCAGAAATAGATATCTCAACTAGTTAAATTATGCTCGGTTCACTCATTATATCATAATAATGATGAACTTTTGTTATCAACTCAAACAATTTTACCAATATGAGTATAATTCAATTGGTTAAGATATTTATTTTTGATCAAAAGATTGTAAGTTCAGATTCGACCTCTACATTTAAAAAAAATTACTCAAACAATTTTGTCACACATAATTTTATTGTATATCTCTTACATGAAAATATATATATATATATATATATATATATATATATATATATATAATATGATAATAATAATAATAATAAATAAATAAATGAAGGGACAAAATAAAAGAAGAGAGAAACCTTCCCATCAAGGTTCATATTTTAGGTTCACGTGTAAGCATGTGAGTAGTTGACGTGGCTAATGTTTATTGGCTTGGTGGTTGAAGGCTTAGGAGACTTCTAGAAATGTGCTTTTTTAATGTCGAAGTTAATTTACTTCAAAAAAACACTTCCATAGATTTGATTTCTTTATCATTCAATTCACTCAACTTTAATTTAAATTATTCCGAAATTATGTATAAATCTTCAATTATATTATAACAAATAAATGGTTTACTTCACCCGCATCAGAACAGACTACAAACTCTTGGAGAAAATAAACTAATTATATATATTGAGCTTTACATATGTAATTTTATATTATATTTTTAAAAAATAAATACATTTCCATGTTCGTATTTTAAAATCATTTTAATATAAATAATCTCAACAATAATTGAATATTGGGCAAAGTCAATGCAATTAATTGGTCCTTGCTTCAAAAATAAAAACAAACAAAGAATTGCTACTATAAATTTATACGTGATATTGATTGTTTGCTTGCAATGATAACGATAACTCAACTTTCAAATATTACCTATAAATTTATTATTTGACATTTGAATTGGTTAAAAATGTATTGTGCCATTAGTGGAGTTCTTGAAAAATATATATAGATATATTTAAAAAAAAACTTTAAAAATTATAATATAAACACTATTTGAGGGATAAATAAAAATTCAGTGATATAATTTGATAAATAAGACCTGTAATAATTCTAAAAAAAAGTAATCTATTTCGTTTATTAATTAGTAATTACTATTGCAAACAAAACGCCGACGATAGATAAAAAAACATTAGTTTTAGAAGCATAAAGAACAAATACAAATTTTAATAATAAAAAATATAATTTGGTAATATAACTTTATTGCTTATTTCATTTTTATTCTTTTAAATCCTCCCTGATCAGAAGGTCCAATATTGGACCAAGTTCATTAGCCATTTTTCTGGATGAAGAATGCTTTAATTTAGAGTGTTATCATCATTTCATTACCCATCCGAATTATTTCCCATTTATTATTTTTTCTTGAGAATTTTCAAATAAAAAGTTAATTCTCCGTGATAAATCATCATTTAAAATTCTCCATTCGAAAAGAAAAATTGTTAAATTGATTAAGAACGTCTTATAATTCATAATACAAATTAYMAAAAAAAAAAAAAAAAAGAAGAAGAAGAAGAAGAAGTCTATTATTGAGGATGGATGGAATTTACAATTTCACCAAAGTAATATTGAGAATGGAATTATGAGGAAGAAACTAATCAGGAAGAGTATAATTAATATATATATTTATATATGCATTTGTGTTTATGGAAGGAAAAGAGGTAAAAGAGCAGAAGCAGAAGACCTTTACGATTTATTTGATTTATTAGTTCAGACTGATGGATCATTTTCAAATTGAATTACATCTCATTTGCATAATGAATGAATGATGAGTATCGGCACCATACTCGGAATCGCAAGGGGTTCGTTCGGTCTATACTTTTCCTTTCCTTCTGTCGTCGATTGCCTGCTCGAAACACACATGGGATTCAGAACAAAATCATATATTTGCATCACAAAACATTATACATTGCCTAAAACTCACGTTTGTATAAAGGTTTATTTTGTTGTTTAGGAGACCGTTCTTTAAGAGGGAGCAAAAATGGATATTCTCATCACTCCGCCCCCCAGAGACGCATTCTAGTCGAATTCGGTATCAATTTATGTACATAGGTAAATAGATGATAACTTCTTTACCACCATTAATGGTGTCCATCTACTGATCCTTTAAGATTTGTGCAGTATCTAGTAGAGTTTGGTAGAGAGTACCTTGCTTTGGAACATTCTCATGGTCAACACAAGCGTATCCCGCATCCTACAAGAAAAATCGACATCATAGTCGACTGCATAACTATTAAAGAAACACATGCAATATGAAACTCAAGACCCGATCGGATACAATATGCTTCTTGTTGATTATAGACAATTCTAAAGAAATAAACAGGTTATATGATATTAATTAGCCTGAGAATATTGAACCAACATAAAACTCTCCATAAAATACAGACACGAATATGCAAGTAAAATGGAAACGTTACCGAACGTTGTACGTGTTAAAGGGAAAAGATGATCCATCAGAACATGTCAAAACAAACTGTGTCGAAATCCCAGAAGGAATTTTCATCTGCATCCACAAATATATAATAAAGAAACAAGATAAAACTTTGGGTTTTATTTGAAAATATAATTTAAACTTGTAGGCACCATCACGAGTAAGTTGAGTCTTGATGAGGACATACCGATAACTCCCTTGAATATTTCTCAGCAATTACAACCGATTCTGTGTTTCCCATCTTAATTTGGTAACCAGACCTCCTCAAAGAAATAGATGCTGGCTCCCAATTCTCGGACGAATCGATCTGTACAAAATTAACGAGGAAAAAGCACCGTTGTAAAATATCTAGCATACAAGTTTGATAGTATTCACACATTTTATATCCTATATGACACAGCTCCTTTGGCAAATGAAGAAAGTCGAGATTCGTTTCATCATTCAACTGGCTTACAAACCAAGAGGTTTACTGCCACTCCAAATAATATCATTGATCAACAGTTTATGAGTTATGGTTATATTTTTCGTGTTCCCTTTATTGATTAGGTCTCTTTCTTTTTTTTTTCATCCAAATAGGAAAAAGAACAGTTTATGAGTTATGACTTTATTCGGGGTTCTCTAGATTGAAGTTAAAACCTGGTTCAATAGTAAGCCAGTAAAATTTTCAAGACAATATGAGAGACAAATTTCAATGAAAAAAGATAAATATTTTGGTCAATACTCAATCCTATAAATCTTTTTTTTTTCTTTTTCTCTTTTTCTCTTTTTTGGATACTGTTTTAAAACTGAAGTGGCATAATGGGTAAGAACTCAAGAATGTACGTAAGTACCTATATTGCTTTCTTTTTAAGTGTTGAAATCACCAAGCACCATATTCCTAAAAGCTTGCATTATAATACAGAGTTAGCAGATGGCTAACATATTAAACCAGAAAATTTTGCATGCTAAATGAATAATTGTCAATGATTTGCAAGAAGAGAGTAGAGAAATTGAACTCTAAAGTGGTAAAATTAATATCTATCAAAAATCAAATTAGAAAAATTTCCAAAAACCAAAAAAGTAAATAACACAAATTCAACTAACAAACCAGGTAACCCAACCAAGAAAACATCTAAACCCAGCCAAAAAAATCAAGTAGATAAAAAGTGCTCAAATTCAACATCAAAATCTCCAAATGTAGCAAAAAATCGTTCAATATAATCAAAAGAACCAATACACAAACAAATAATCTTAAAGCCACAAGAATGTAGGTAGCTAAACCTCAAATCTTCAAGAAAATGGAAACCGGCTAATAGAGGTAATAATTTCACAACATATTTTAAGGCTAAATCTGACTCGCGTAGCTAAGTATACAGCGAAGAAATTAATTTTTCTCACATATTTACTTATATGAGATAAACCTACCAGCAATAGGACATTAAACGTGGCTTGTCCCTTTGAAAGATATGTATCAATCTCCAATTGCATGTCCGGATCTATAATAGAACCAATCAGAAATCTCAAGGAGTATACAAAAAATAGCTGATATATAACAATGTTAATCAACTAACGAATCAAAATAGTTTACACAAGGTACCATGATAGATCAAACATTTTTAATATAGCAAAAGTCAAGGATCTTAAAGTAGGGAAAAAGGAAAGAAAAAAAAATTTTATGGCAACTAAGATTTTCTGCCAACCTTTCATCACAGTCTGCTCTTAGAGGTGATAAACACAAACTTATGGTGATGTTTCTAAATTTTTAATTAACTTACCACATTTTATTTTGTTCTGATCATTAGCAAAAAGCTTGACCAGTTCCCCCTGATAATTGGAAAAAAAATTAAAGAGTAAAAAACAGGAAGACATTGTAATCATATTAATCACAATGATTTTGCACAGAGAGTGATAGGGATTTGAAAAGGAGGAAACTTGAAAGGAAATACTTCAGATAAGACTTCAAAACTAAATGCAGAATCTTGGAAGCAAACTGAATGGCTTTTCTGAATTTCATATACTAATAGCATGTACATTTGAATTTTTATCACAATCCAAAGTAGTCTTGTTAGAAAACCTGATGGCCTTTGTCATCCATTGGTATGCACTCGACCGCGATTAGTTTGTCAACATCATCAGCTGCAACAACGTATTCTGGATTTGTAGCTCCTAAATATTAAAAAAAAATAATAATCAAAGATGAGAAAAAGTCAATATAACAAACTAGTCGTAATCAGTAACAACATATGCACCAAAAAGTAAAGTAACCAGAGTGTCACATTGAAAAGGAAAGATATTTTTCGGTTTGCATTTTCAATAAAGTCAAGTCCATTTGCTTTGTTACTAGAATATCTAAATTCTATTTGTTCAAAATTTATAAGGTAGATGAAGTACTCTTTTGTCATTGTTTTTCTTTTCTTTTGTGGTGCCTTCTCCTCTTCATATTTTATTGTATATTTTTCAGTTTCAAAAAATAAAAGGGGGAAAAAAAAAGATGAGAGAGTAAGAATACCATCTGAAGCATCCTGCAAAGTCAAATTCATTTCCATTACCTTCAATATACTGCCTTGTGCCATCCTCAAGATGCCAAACCCACTGACACAGAGATTTATATTATTGATCTATGAATATTCCATATGCATTCACAAATCTTTGTTGATCTTCATTTAAATGATTTCAGAACATGGCACCTGAAATATACAAAGAGAAGTCCCTCGAGTAGGATATCCGCATGCAAGAAGTCTGCCCCCTGGTGTAGCGTCACCGACTATTTGAAAATTCTCGATGCTGGGTCCCTCTGAATTGAAACTTCATGTCTTAGTAAAGTCCTGGTTATACGCAGTCGTGTATGGATCACCTTATGGAAAAGAAATAGCAAACTCACCAACTGTTACAGGGTGGTTATATCTCTCGTCAGTCATATAACGTTGCATTTCCACGGCATCATCATCAACTGGAGGGGTAATAGCACCAGGCACCTCCCTACGACAATATGTTTTTATGGTTGACGGATAATAGACAATTTCCATTAGTGCAGGAATCAAAATTTCTATATATAGGTGTTTGTAGATACTTTTGTGCTATTACAAAATTCAAGTTGAAAGTTAATATAGTTTTGTAACAGGCTTTCAGTTTGAAACCAGATAAAGAAGGTTCCAAGTGTAAAAAGTACATAAACAACAAACGTCCTAATAACTTTATCTTTTTTAAAATAAAATGGAAAGTTCAATATAAGTAGATAAGGGAAAAAAATGGGAGAGAGAGAGAGAGAAGAGGAAAGAAGAAAAAAGAGTTCCATAAAACTTGTCTGATAGGGGTGTGTGTGTGTGTAAATGACCATAAATTTTGTAAGACTTTCATAAAAATAAGTTTTTGAGCCTTGAAGCTAACAACAATTTGTCTCAAGTTGGTTGGCCAATTGATTGTTGATTTGATAACACCATTGTGGTGCATGACTTTAAGATATGTTGCACTTCGCAATTTCCCTAGGCATTCTTTTCAGTTCAAATTAAGATACTTTATATTTATGATTGGTTGTCAGCCAAAAATCTTGTTCGAACTCAAGGCGTTCATACTAGAATTTAGAATTTAGAATATAGAATGTCATACCTGCCAGCATAGAATAAAGGGTCTGGAGAATTGTCATAGTTCACAGGTTGGTACATTTCGGGTTTTAGAATAAAGTCTGCTGCTCCTGGAATTTTATTTTGTACCCTAGATGTAAACACATCTTCAGTTGTTCCCAAATGCTGCATGCAACATGGATGAAAATTAAATGAGTGGAAAGTTCGTAAAAGCAAAGGAAAACAGACATAGTAGTCAAGTTCCATTTAATAGTACCTCAGCTTTGGGAGGATGTTGGTATTTTACATTTCCCAAATCAGCGTTCTCTCTTCTTTGATATTGATATCCACTCTCAAAAAACTTCAAATCAGTATTCTCTCTTCTTTGATATTGATATCCACCCTCAAAATGATTTTCAGCAAGAGATGCTAGTTCTCCAATTTTATCCTGTGACGAAAAGAAGCACAGCCTGTATTATAATAATTTATCAATTTCAAGCAACAGTTCATTGCTAAGAAAAACTTTAACAAGGAGGATGGAAATTAGAACAGTTTATGGAATTGCATTTCTGGCTTTAACGAAATTGGTTGACATTTTTTTTGAGTTAAATGTCTTGGCAAAAATAGGACATTTGACAAAGTTGATTGTCTGGCTCAACAAGAATGCAGTCCAATAAAACATTAATGTAATTGGATGATAGTTTAAAATCTCTTCTTATATTATTTCATGTAAACCGTCAAAAGAGATTATTTTTTTATTACTATCATGGTGAGTCAAGAAGAGCAGTGGAATTTTGTCATATCAAACATGTCATCCCAACTCATTCTCTTATCATTAAATATTCTATTGTTCCTCTGTCCATAAGCCACAAAATTGTCACTATAGCATTATAGAGAAAAGATTAACACTCCATGGAGAAGAAATAACTGAAGCAATAATAGAAAGGAATGCTAGTAGATGGAGTTGCAATCATACATAGCAAAACATTTTACCATCTTGGTTGGGCAACTCATAACTTAGAAAGAAAAGCAACAAATTTCAATATTAGCAAACTTACATGCGAAGTTCTGATCTTTCGCTGCAACTGATCATGAAGCAGCTGCAAAGATTTGAGGGAAAAAAAGGTAAAGCAAAGTGAAAGGGAATGAAGACACTATTAAAAAAATCCAAATCCTAAACTATTTCACATCAAATTCCCATTAAGCAAAAACAGTACTTTGACTTGGGAGCATTCTTTAATTAGGTCCCAAGACAAATTAGATTCATTGAAGTGGGCACATGAATTTCATGCATTCCGCTTAGAGATTTCAACCAAATTTATTTCCAGCATTCATTTGGATTAAGGATGGGCAACATATCAGCAAGAAAGTGGGATTAGTTTCAAGCTTTATAATGTAAAGAACTTACCTTCACACTGTTGGTTATAACAGAGGCATTTATGACATGTGGCCAAATACCATATTCTGCCAAAAGCCCAAGCAATGATGACATGTAGAGATATCTCTCATCATCCACAGCCTATTGGAGAATGAAAATGAAACCATTCAGCATTTAGCAGATATAAACTTCCAATTGGTAGCAACTATGGTCGCAAAGGAACCATTGAACATTTTAATGACACGTAGAGAGACGGAATAGGTGCACAATTTTGAATTTTTTTTTCAGTTTAATGTTGGAGCTCCTTGTCTAAACAATTGTCATCAAACTAGAAAGCTTCAGCTTAATTTGCCACGAATTCAAATATGTTTTTAAGAGAGGTGAAAAAATCAGTAATGAAATTGTACAAAAACAAGAATAATTTTTAAAAATAGAAAACTAAAAATGAAAGTTACAACACCTTCTTTTTTTCGTTTCGGTATTCTCTATGGAGTTTTGGCTTGGGTGGATATTTCCATCTTTTCTCTCGTTTTGGTTGATAATTGTTTCTTTATTTGAAGCTTCATTTTTATCCATTAAATGCTCAAGTTACATACAAGGTATCGGATGGAGATGACCTGGGAAAGAAACTAAAACATACCTTTAATTCATTAGTCAATTTTAAGTTCTCTTCAAGATCCCCTTTTCTGTATCCCAACTCATTGAAGGCAGACGTAATGACTTCAGTTTGCTTCTCATCAACTGCCTGTTACACAATGCGAAAATAATTATGGTCTCCAAACCAAAATGCTAAAAACCGCTGAATGAGGAGAAAACTGAAAACAAAGACCAACCATTCTTATGTCTGAAAACTTCCTCTCTAATGCATACTTCTCATTCAATAGTCGCAACTCCTTTCACCACAGAGATTTCTCATGTAAGGTATATGAGATGTTGAAATGAGTAGAATCCAGAGTCATCTAAGAAATTTATACCTTCAAACAAGCTACTGCAATTTGTTGACGAAGAAGTTGAATCTCCCCTTCCTGTGCTCTTACCCGTGAAGACAGTTCCTATGTACAACTATAAGAACTCTAAAATGTTGCAGATGGCTTAAATTCAAAATCTGAGCAAATTGTACACAGAAGGCCATACCATAGCTTCTTGGTCTTGATGATTATTGAAATTCAACACTTTCAGATTATTTGAAGCAAGAGATCTTTCAAAATTGTGCCAGCAGAAAAAATTGTATTAGTGATATGCACAAAGCATCTGCTATTTAAGCCATTAACCATACTCATTTCCCTACTTAACCCTCCTTAAATGATCTGAAGAGACTAAATTAGTGAGCAAAAAATATAAAAACCTACAAGCAAAACATAATTAGAGCTATCGCCTTGCTATTATACGGGATTTTGCAGGGCGAACCCCATTATCATTAAGCCCATGCAGGGAGCTATGGGTAGACGACATCAGATCGGAAGTTCAAGTTCTTTACTATGGCAACTTCTGATTGCATCAGCAGAAACATTGTCCATCACAATAGACAGAATCTCGCACTCTACATAATTTGATGTCCTTACACCATAGACGGAAAATTTTGCATGTTTTATCCACACAGCTTCAAATCAAGGGTGTGTCCATCAATTCAAAAGGACGAGTAGTGAAATACTGCAGTGTATCAATACAACAAAAGAAAAAATGTACAGAGACTTTTTTTTGCTAAAAAAATGTTCCATCTTCTACGCTAGAGATTTAGAAGAAGCATGTACTTCCACCCTACCATAATTGTAACTGATGTCATGTCATATCAAAATTATACTGCAGCTCTGAAAGGGCAAAATATATTTAGATGAACAAATGAATTTAGATTCTGCTAAAAGATGGGGAGCACTGAGCAGCGGGTTCCTAGGTTTTTTTTTTTAATGAACAGTATTATGATAGGAATTCAAATACTTTCTTAGAGTCGTTTAGGTTATACACCAACTTTCTTCTTTATTTTTTGTCCAACATATATGAATGAATACTTTAAGACTATTCTGCAGTAGAGCTGAAAAAATCAAAAGCCCAAAACATGTCTGCACAAAAGACAGATTCCCAATTCCCCCGTAGATAAAATTTCGCTTCACTAATTATTCCTCACCATCTCTACTTTTTTCTCATGAAAAATTATAATCCATGTGAATCTAATGAAATACTTGTGGAGTATGTTTTAACATAAATCTACAGCAAGGTTCTGAACAATTTGATGAGTAAGAATTCGAAGCAGGGATTTGGAATGGCAACCAATGGTGGAATTTGAAGATTTTCAAGGAAGAACTTAAATGGCTGGTTCAACTCGTCAACCAAAGCACCACTGCGCTAAAATTCAGGAAGCCGATCAAATTTATAACATTCTCCTAATCCAGCTAGATTATGATTTACAACCAGTCCAACCCAGAAAAATTATAGCGATTAAAATTAGTAAAACGATGAACAAAGTCCATATCAGATGCATCTTCGTAGAACTAAAAAACATACAAATCATATTGAGATTCAATCACGGCTTCCGAAAGAAACCCTCAAACTGAAAAATGAAAATGAATGTAACAGGAGGGAGAAACAGCATCCCCGCCATATCGAGCAGAAATGCCTTATTCGGAATGGGATTGAATCATCAGCCATTAATTAAGCAGTTTAGGAAGTACCCAGATAATGATTAAGCAGTAGATGGCTCGAGAGGTGTCGTGCTCGGATTCTTGAGGAGGAAATATTGCCAAATCGAGCTGCGTACGAGCCAAAAACAGTAAGAAGGCGCAAGAAGAGAGGTGTGGAAGTCAAATCAGTGAGGGGTTGGTTATGAAAAATTAATCCATGAATTTCCTCCACGTATAATCGCGGATTCCTTCTCGATTTCCTCGAATATGATAAACATAAACAAAAGAAAATTATAATTTAAATTTTATCATAGACGACGCAAGTAAAAGTCAAACCCAAAACCGAAAGTCTTGTGCTCCCACTATTTGTGTAATTATGTTCCGGCGTATATATTGGAGAAGAAAATGGAGGAAGTTCATATGTAAGGCCTCATTTTGTTCTCCATTACATTTTTTTTATTTGTATTTTTTTTTTCAACAACATTTGGAGATTTGAGACTCTTGAGTTAGGATTAAGTTTGCATTATTATTATTTTTAAATATTTATTTATTTTATTATCTTGTGCAAATTTAAAAGAATGGATGTATCTGTTTTTTAATAAATTTAAATGTGTGTCAAGAGGCTCCCTTTTTTTTGTTAGCGACATTGTTGTTTATTCAAGATCCAACAACGTTCTTTTTTATACATAGACAGTGACGGATCCATAGATTTCGTTCTAAGGGGATTTCATTAAATGGTAGATTCGTAACTTTATGTTTGGAGCATTCGTTGATGTAGAAATATGTTTGAACATATTTGGTAATATCGATATTAATTTATGTATTTTTAATGTTAATTTGGTTAAATTATTTTATGTCGGAACACGTATTCATATAGAGATAATTTTAAACACATTTGGTGTATATCGATATTAGTTGATGTATTTTGATCTTAAGCTGGTTAATTTGCAAATTTTGATTCTTAAACTTTTAATGTTGTGTTTAATAGGTCGCTTGACTTTAAAAATTTATAATCATTTCTTAACTTAGATTTGTATTACTGGGTTGTTAAACTTTAAGATGTATAAAAGGGATTTTGAACTTGTAATTTTATGCATAATTACGAATCTATTGGACGTAAAATTGTGAAATTTGAAAACCTACCAAATACAAAATTAAAAGCTAAAAAATTCATTACTTATAGGATACGTCAACGTAAGTCGAACTCAACTAAATAAGATATATATCTTCAACAAATATGTCGTTAATTTAAACTCTCACTCACATGTTGTTGTACTAACAGAAAAATAAAAAATAAAAGTAACAAATCATTAAATACAATCTAAAAGATTTATAATTTAAACTATCAAGTCTAGTCAATAGAACACGTGACTAAAGTTTTTATATAAATGTAAAAGAACCCTACGAATATTTATTATTATTTGACATTTGTACGTATTGTGTGGATGGTTTTAAAAAAACATGGTCTACAATGTAATTTTACAAATACATGGCAAAGTCTATATTGTTTATTTTAATTAAAAAACAAAGTTTTTCAAATAAAATACAAATAATAAGCCTCGAAAAGGTTGAATGTGAGTAACGTAACATTTCGGTCTATCAGATGATTAAGACATATCTATTCAATTAAAATGTCGAATTTAAATCCTTACATGTTCTTGGTGAAACAATGTCGTCGATCATAATTAGGTAAATGAAAGGATTGAATTCAATCGTTGATGGTGAGAGGTCGGTTTAGATGGGATACAAAGAATATGATTGGTCGAATTAACAATTATGATGGTTTTGTTTTTTAGTATAACATGTGGGGTGAGAATTTGAATTCACTATTTTTTTAATAGAGATATGTACTTTAACCAGTTGAAATATGTTCGGATTGACAAATATATTTTTATTGTGCCAATGCAATATTATATATATCAATGAAGAATTATATATTAACTGTACCAAAAACAAATAAATAAACATGTATATAAATATTTGTGTTAGCTTAGCTCAAGATTAATAAAAGCAAAATATTCCAATCTTATTTATTTTTATAATTACTATTAAAATTTGATAGTTAATTATTTTTATTTTAGTTTTACATGTAATGTAACGACAGTAAGTCAATCATCCTTTCTCAATATCTAAATATCTTACTCAATAATATAAACCAGACCTAAACAAAAATAATAATCCCAAAGCTTGAGATTATAATAATGATAGTCTTTTTTTGGTAGAGATACAAGTATATTTTAAAATTAATCTTGTTTTTTTCGAAAAAATAAGAAGAAGTATATATATATATATGTATATTTTAAAATTTATTTAATTAATAGATAAAAGAAAAAAAGAAAACACAATTACAATTTTAATAGTTGATGTACAATCTAATTACGGTAAATTCAAGTGGCAACCCCATTTAAATTGGAGGTTCACTTAAATTAAAAACAGAGGTCAACTATTAAAATCACAACTTTACCTAAATGATATACATCTATTATATATCTATATATGTGATATAAATATGACATAGATATGAGTGTCTGATATACTTACAATATGTATATAGTATACATCTGTTATATTACTGATATGGGTGTTTATTAAATAAATATGTAAGGTGTTTATTAAATAAATATGTAATATACATCTAATATACTGGTGTCTCTTATATTAAAAAAATAAAAGTAAGGTAAAATGACAATTTTTTTTTTGACATTACAAAATTTTGATTTAATTACATATATGTTATCTTGTTTATATATATATATATATATATATATATATATATATATATATATATATATATATTTCCTCTCTCTTTTTATACGATTTTTTAATCTATCTATTATATAAATGAGTTGAACATATGTACGACGTCAGACGAACTGCTTCTCCACAAGTACTTGGAATTCTGAGCGAGAGAGAGTTGAATCAATTGGAGGAATGTGGATTTGATCCAAACAGGATGAAAATCATCAACTTGCGTAGAAGTCCAAATCTGTTCACCACGGTTCGATTCTTGCTCATATTAGGGTTCCTTTTCTCGCAATCAAGCCCTACAGCTCTCGCCAAATCTCGCCGTCCAGTCACTGTAAGACTTCCGATCACTCCATATCAACTCGTTCGTCTTTCGAAGTTGTAATTGTCTTCCGTTTTCTCTCGATTCTACTGAATCTTGTCAATTATTCAGGATGCTGAAACCAAGCAGAAGAAGCAGGAGTGCTACACTGATATTGAGAGGTGAGCATTTTTTTCGAGCTATTTTTAGGGTTTCTTTTCCTCTCTCGAACTGAACGTAGTTAGAAAATTATCTGAGAAATTTAGAAGGTGATGCCCCCTTCCTGTTTGTATTCTTCCGGCTTATTTGGTTTGGTTGGCTGCTATAATGTATTGCAAATTTGCAGCGGGTTGTGGGGTTGGAACTGCAAATCTTCAGCTATCGAAAAGGAAAACTGTGCCCTACGATGTCTTTCTCCTACTTGTTATGATCTAGTATATGGCAGTGATCCGGTGAGCCAATTTTCGTTTTATTGTCCTCTGTTACTCGTGGTTTTTCTTCTCTCACTGCTTTTCATTAATTTCTGAGTCAATTTTTACGCGTTGGACTTGTATTGATGCAGCTCGAGGAAGGAGAGAAGGACCTTGCTAGGAGTCAAGAGTATAAGTATTGTATCTATAAGTAAGTTCAGCATTTTTTTTTCAATTTTCCAGAAAATAAAGTGGGCCATTTCTCATTTTAATTATTGGCTTCGATATTCCTGATAGTGTCAATTTTTTTAAACTTTCAATCATAAATACATTGCTCGATAAGTGGGTAATCCAAATAAACTTCAATGCTACAAGAAGCTCTGTTCTTAATGGGATGCAGGAATTAAAAACTGTAATCTAATTCATTTTGTCTCCATATTTAGATATGAGATAGGAGATGGGTATCAAGCTTGTTGGTTGATTGCATTAGTGTTTTGGTGTTGGGTATTTAAATCAATTTGAAGGATTTTGGGACTCCATCAGCTTGCATAACCTGGAAGAAGACATGGGTAGAAATTTGACATTCATGTTTGATATTGAGATTTTTGGTTCTTATGAAATACCAGACTGTCTTTTCACCTTGAGGGTGGTAAGATCATCTAAGAAATCTATATGCATTTCGTAGTGGCAGTTGTCCCCTTATACAATTTCCACTGTCCACCCCATCCCCTCCAACCATTTGAATAGGAAGTGTAATGTATCCCGACGTGTTCATATGTCATGCGTTCTTAATCCAGTCCATAGGTGTGGAAGAGACATTGATGGTAAGGAGCTTTGACATCTGATATTGCAATCTGTTGTCTTTGGATGGCTGGAAAGGAATCTAGTCACTGCTTATATTGTAGTTGCTACTTAACTGGCGAGCTATGGTCTGTAAATCACTATACATTTATAATATGTTTCGTGTGCTACCAAATCAGAGATCTTCCACCATACTTGGACATAAGTTTGAATCTTCAAGGATTCAAGAATCAAAATTGTATCACTTGGCGGGAATGTATACAAACCATGGTGGTCACCCCCTAAAATTTAAAATCTTATGAATTTTCTCGACAACTTAATGTAATAGGGTCGGACAATTGCCAAATTGAGGTCGGTCTCAATTCCCTAATGCATCACTTTCCAATAGTTCTCCCCATTCTTTGCTTTACTTCTCGTCTCCCCTTCTTGATTTCATTAGGAGTAGTGTTTGTGTGGTTGACCAAGAGAAACTTGATGTAAATAAGATATGTGCATCTCAACATTACACATTTGGTTGTCAATTATATTTCAATCTCAACTTATATTTGTGATTGATCTAGCATGGATGAACCTTGTAGAGTTTCAGGATTTGGGATTTGTTGAATGTTCAAAAGTAGCTTAGCTTAGAGCTTTGCAACAATTGGTTTAGAGAACTAGTTTAAGGTGTGAATCTTTTGTTTATTTGCAGGTTGTCAATGGGGGAGAGTTTGGAGGGTATTAAGGGCTCATTTGACTACTGATTTCTGTCTGTACTCCAGAGATCTATGTTATAATTGAATGCACACCATTAACTAACTGTGTGGTGTTTCATTATGACCAGTTCTTCTGTTCAAAATCTAAGGTACAAATCCAGTCCCTAATTCTTCTTCTTTTTCTTCCTCCATTCTTTTATTTACAAGAAAAAAAAAGGGAAATATGATATGATAACACTTTACAGTATCAACGAAAATCTTGAAATGGGAAGCACAGGAACTTATACAAATTTGAATTAATGAGTGGATTTTTAACCTTAGCTTCAATTGATTATTCATTATTTTTAATAGTCATGTTCTTTTTTAAATATTATTTGGGCCAACTTTTGGTAACTTTTGGTTCATTTTGTTTCGCTCTCAAAATGTCTATTTTGGTATTTTTAGTTTTGAAATATCAATTTTGGTCTCTATATACTTTTAAAAAGTGACAATTTTAATCCCTTCATTTTTATTTTTGTCTCATTCTTCCAATCATAATTTTAGTATGACACTTAACTCGTTAAAGTTCTTGAAATGTAGCTATAAATTTGTATTAAAGAATTTTTAGTGGGTATAAAATTCAAGTTAAAATTTTGCCAATAAAGATTAAATTGGTCATTTTTTAAAAGTACAAAGTAAAAAATGGAGGTTTCGAAAATATATATGAACTAAAATGAATAAAAATTTAAAGTACAGGTAAAAAAATGAAAATAATTTATACGTTTATTTTCTCAAGTCATGCTTATACCCATCAATAATTACAAACATTCATAAACTAAAACGGAAATATTACCCTTTTTGTTTCGAAAATTGTTTTTTAAAACCGTTTGGAGAATTATTTTTTATTTTAAAGATAAAAAACATTTTCAACCATGACTTCCATTCCGCATTTTAGTCTCATTTCTCAAAAGTCAAAAGTCAAAATTGTAATTCTCTTTTTCGTTTTTATTTATTTATTTATTTTTAGATTGTAAATCTTCTGAACCGAGGAATCTACGTATTGTTAAACGTACACATTTGAATATAAGTTTAAGACTTGATTATGAAAATTTTTTCCATTCAGATAATAATATTCTTTTATAAGACTTAGTTTTATTTATTTATGAAGAACTCTTTCAAACAAATCTTCCAAATTGACAAATTCCAAAAGCGGGTATGGGCCTTCATACCTAATCAGAGGGGCCCACTTATGAGGGTGCCAACGTGGAAAATCACCTTCCACTGATTATTTTAAGAGGGAAGGAAAAAAAATTATCTAAAACTGAATTTCTTTAATTAATTTCTTTTCGCTTTTTAGATCTTACCATTATTATTACTATATTAAGGTGTGAGATGGTTGAGAATATTCTGTGACATATTTATCTTCTCAAAGTAATAATGATAACTTTTGTTTTATTTATTCTATTTTTTATTAAAATAAAAATAATATTTATGTTCTCAAAGTAAAGTGAGTCGGCTTAATTATTAGTGAAATCTCAATCCAGTTTCATATTTGCTAATATTTTATAAACAACCTGTATTACAAGATATAAAATCGTTAACAAACGAAGTTTAACTTGAAACATAGGTCAAATACATGATATATGCATAAAAATCTTCCTCTAGATTCTCATTGATGGAGAACCATGAATGAAACTAACAGATCTTTCGTATCTTCAAATATATCCAAAGTCTTACCATTTTCATAGATTCTTTTAAATTCTTCAAGTAAAATTCTTGGAAGATGTTTGCTTTTACTTTGAAATGCCAATCTAGTAATTCTTATTTTTCATTGGAACGGATATTCATTCTTCTAAGTTATTCATTTTTTTAACAGATTTGTAAGCCACATTTTTTCGGTACAATACGTGAGGTGGAGATCATACTCACAACATCCATTCACTTCGACAATATAGTCTACATTGACAGTGTAACATTCAAGAATTAAATTAAAAAAAAAGCTTCATGAATTTGGAACTTCCAAAAATGGCATAATTTGGACCTCATAATTTGGAACTCGGAAAATTTTCCAAATAAAGAAAGTCCAAAATCAAATGCACTTTGTCAATTTAGCAAACTAAGAAATACACAAATTAGAGTACAAAAGGGCAGGAAAAAGAAAAAAATAAATAATAAAAAGGGAAAAACTTAAAAAGTAGCTGGAAGGGTATTTTGGTCTTTTTATATATAGCCAAACCATCCACACAATCAAAACCACCATTTTCACTTTTTAAAAGATTCCATAAATTTTTCTCTGAAAATTCGATCTCATTCCCAAAGTTAAAATATAAAATTAAAGGGAAAAAAATAAAGGAGCAGGCGGAGTAGGTTCCCCATTACTGATTTCTGCTGCTGCTCCTGAATCTGGGCTCTCTCCATTTTTCCCATATCCAGTTTTTTCCTCGCGACGAAGAAATCAAAGCAGAAATGGGTTTTAAAATTTTTGGATTGAGATCATAACCGCGTGAAAGATAGTTTGTTTGACGAATTGGGATCATATTTGCATTGAAGATTAGATAGTCGACGAATTTTCCTCATACATATCCAATCATCTGAGGTTCCTTAATTCAATCCATCTTATTTGAAGATCCGAATCCCGTCGTCTCCTTCTCGCGTTCTGTGAATTGTTGTTTTTTTCTATTACCCAATTCTGAATTTGTTTGATCGCTTTTGAATTCCGACGATGTACTATCCCCACCCGCCGCCGATGCTCGTGAACTGCTCCGGCTGCCGGACTCCTCTCCAGCTCCCGCCGGGCGCTCCGTCTATTCGCTGCGCTATATGCAAGGCGGTGACCCATGTTATGGACCCACGCGCCGTCCCTCCGCCGTCGCCTTCTCACTCTCAGGCGCCTCCGCCGGTACCGTCGCCTTACAACCACGCGCCGCCTGGATTTCCCGCCCACCCTCATGGCCGTAAAAGGGCTGTGATCTGTGGGATCTCGTATAGGTACTCGAGACATGAGCTCAAGGGCTGCCTTAACGATGCTAAGTGCATGCGATATCTTCTCATCAATAAATTTCATTTTCCAGAAGATTCTATACTCATGCTTACTGGTATTTTTCCCAACTCTCCTCTCTCTCTCTCTCTCTCTCTCTCGTTCATCATGAGGTATACAGTGCGTTGGATCATGCTTTTCTGAACCCTCCAATTGTTATGGAAAACTACAAATTTCTGTTCCTTGATGCTTCTGATGGATTCATTCTAACAGGAATTGTTCGAATGGTCACTTCTGTTTGTTACTATATTGGGAAGCATTAAATTTCACTTTTGCATGCGTAGGAACTCTAGGGATAATTGATATGTTGAATGTTGAGTATAATTTCTGTCCTCCTAGCTTAGCTTGCCATGGGTCATAAACCAAACATATTATACCGACAGAAGATTGGTTGGTAGAAATGGTAATTTTATTTTATGCTTTTATGTACATCGTTGGTCCAATTTCAGAACTATTGACATGTAACAAGAAAATGCAAGAAAATGGTTATATTATGCTTTTAGAAACCTCGTACAAGTTTAATTCCAGGTCGTCAACTTATCTACACCTCAACTAATTTCATAGGACAAACACTTGACCCTGCTCGGTTGGTAAGAAAGTCATAAGATTTTAACATTCTAGGGCCACCATGAAGTTTGAATTCATTTCTCTATCGTTATTTTTTACTATTTCACTTGTGCTAATGCTACTAGACCAACCCACGGTGCTTAAGTTAAATTCTAGGTTTCTTGAAAATTTGGCAAGTTAAAGTGTTACAACTTACAATCGAGTTGTTGCATTAGTTTTGCATGGGAGCTTTGTAACTATCGGTATTTGACAAGAATTATCTGCTAGCTCTGCACCTTTCCTGAGAGTTGCTTTACATTTGTTTGGAGTGACTGGATGACACCAGAGTGCAATTATCTGGTGTACCCACCTACGAGCATCCTGGATGATCCATCATGGAGTAATATGGCTCGAGGCGTGGAATTTCTGGTGTTAGAATCAAGTTTCGAAACGAGATAGGACAAGATGAAGATTTATCGTATATTGCTGTGGTTTCTTTCCAATTTCCCAGCAGATTGGAAGAATGGAGAAAATGGGTCTGTTAATTTTTCATTCATAATTGGTCTTTGAAAATAAAGATTACAGTTAGGTCGGTTTCGCCTTAAGTTGAAGAACCTTTGGAGTTGCTCGTGGATCCACTTTTTTTTTAATCAGAATATCTTGGGTAAAATATCGAAGACAGTATTAGGGTTATTTATTTTGAGTAAATTAGCATGGATCAAATCAGATTTAGTCTGATTACCAATTCATATAGGAGGGTTCTCTTTCAAATGAATTCTGAACCCATGTCTGCATATCTCTAGTTTTATTTTTTTTTTTTTGCAAATTTCCTAAGATTTTGTGTTCTGGATAGTAAGGCTCGATTATCAATCGCTACTAAATTTATTTCTTTATCTTCTTGTTATACAACTAGTTTACTTATGTTCATTCTGGATAATGAAATGCAGAAGAAGAAACTGACCCATACAGAATTCCCTACAAAAACAACATTAGAATGGCATTGTATTGGCTAATACAAGGTTGTCAACCAGGTGACTCCTTGGTATTCCATTATTCCGGTCACGGTTCTCGCCAAAGGAACTACAATGGTGATGAAGTAGATGGATATGACGAAACTCTTTGTCCCCTGGACTTTGAAACTCAGGGAATGATTGTTGATGATGAAATTAATATGGCAATTGTTAGACCTCTTCCTCAAGGCGTAAAGCTTCATGCAATCATAGATGCTTGCCATAGTGGAACCGTACTAGATTTGCCATTTCTATGCAGAATGAGCAGGTTGGTTTTGCATACATATGTTCATGCTCTTTAGTCGAAACATAATATGACAGGACGATGTTGCTCTTACTCTTGCCAAAGTTGCTAACATATTGATGGTCATAAATATCCAAAAGATCTAGTATGATAGAAACTAGTAGAGAATATTGTTAAGATGAAAATTTATATATCTTCGATCTAAATGGATTAAACTCTTCAACTTTCGATTTCCCCCTTTGATCATAGGAGTGGACAATACGTGTGGGAGGACCATCGCCCGCGATCTGGAGTATGGAAAGGAACGAGCGGTGGAGAAGTTATTTCTTTCAGTGGCTGTGATGATGATCAAACCTCAGCTGATACGTCTGTAAGTTCAAGTTCCATAATACACGGTTATTTTTATCCCAATCTCATTGCCATTTCAATGATGCTGAGCTAATTACTTAAATGGGAACAGGCTCTGTCAAGGATAACATCAACAGGTGCCATGACTTTCTGCTTCATCCAAGCTATCGAGCGGGGACACGGAGCTACATATGGAAGCATACTGAACTCTATGCGAACAGCTATAAAAAATGCAAATGGTGGTGGTGGTGGTGGCGGTGGTGGCGGCGGTGACGTTGTTACATCTCTGGTCACCATGCTTTTGACGGGAGGGAGCGCCATCGGCGGGCTCAGACAGGTACTTAACTTTTCATGCTAATCATCTGGAACTTGTGGCTGTTATCCCTAAAAATTCCATGTTTGAGGTTTTTCATGCACATGTACAATCTGCTGAACAATATGATAATCTACTGGTGCTAAGAATTTAAGTTCAAAGTTCATTCCGCTTTCGCCATTGTTATTTGCAGGAGCCACAATTAACTTCGTGCCAGGCATTCGACGTGTATACGAAACCTTTCTCTCTGTGATTTCTTTTTTCTTGGCGATGGTTGAAGGTTGCATTTGGAGGAGGGTTATGTTGGCCTATTTCTCCATTTGATGATGCTTTGTTGAAATTTTGTTGCACAGATAGAAGATTGTAATGGAAAAATAAGGCAATTCGAAAATGCAGATTGTAGTGTACATGAATTGATATAGTATTAAAATTCAGGTATTGGAAGATTCTATTCGACTTGCTGACTTGTTATCATGAATTCCCATGTGGGTATTGTTTATTAATAACCGTTTCGTTTATAATTTTCTGTTATGCTTGTTTGGTCATAATTTTTTGTTCACACTCTTTCTTAAAAGTATATTTAAACTCTTAGTCAAATTTCAAAAATAAAAATAAGTTTTGAAAACTTACTTCATGTAGTTTTCAAATTTTGGCTTAGATTTTTGAAATTAATTTTGGCTTAGATTTTAAAAACAATTTCAAAAAGCTCATACAAAATAAAGCAATATATGAGTGAAGGTAGAATTTAATGTACAAGAAACCAAAAACAAAACGGTTACTAAATGTAAGTGGAGGGATTAGAAGCTATGCCACATTAGTAGAGAAAGTAGTGTTTACAATTTTAAAAAATAACCAAAATAAAATCAAATAAGGTTTTAGATGTGATTTTGATGGTAAGGACTAAAATAAGTAGAAGGGATTCAAACACCAAAATTCATAGTTCAAATAAAAATAACCATGAATTATCTAGATTGTTAGCTCTAGCTTTGGAGCTTCAATCAAAATCCAAATAAAACAATTTGATGGTAACGTATCTAATTTCTACCGATGATTTTATTTAGGGACGATTTTAACACTTCTTGAATCAGGGATGATTCCAACACTTCTTGAATCGCTCAAGTTCGAAGATCAAATGAACTAAAGCTGGAACTAATGACTATCATTAGAATTGGAAATTTTCTTGTCACTGCAGCTGTGGCCTTTATTGTAGAAATTATGTGAAAAATGAAGATGGGTGGCAAAATTCCATCAACTTACAAAGTACATCCCAGTAACTAACCCAGAACCACAACTTTTCAAAGAAAAAACTAACCTAAAATTACAAATTAATGAATTTCTTCTGCTCTGATTTCAAGTCCCTGTGCCACCTAAATAAATTTCTCTAGTTTTGTTGATTTGAGTTTGATTGGGTATGAAGGGAGAAACGTTTCCAGTTGTAGATTAGAACTTTTAAGAATTTGGTTCACAAAAATCTGACCTTTCTCCAATTGAACTGCCTCCAACACGTTGCCAAGAACATCAGCTGCAACCCCAACTTGTACAAGACTTCCAGGCTCCTCCCCACCTTCATATATGAGCTTCCCGATTTCTTTCAATGGAATCAAGTCTTCCCAGATCAAGTTCGCCAGTAGTCGCCCCATAAATTCTGGAGCTTTCGGGGCATCGTTGACAGCATCCTCCAGAGTGGCAAGAACATACTCGATCCTATTAAATAAACAAGAGGGGATCACACAAATAGCACAAAATGGACATAAATTGCAAACTCATATAATCACATGAAAGGAAACCAGCCAAAAGTCATGTTTGGGACTCTTTTTTTCTCAAAGAAAGTAAAAAGTAATGATATTTTGACTTTTAATAGAAAGATTCAGAATTTTTACCCTTTGACAAGTTGGAGTTGAGTAAATGTAGCATTCTTTGATTTTGCGAGGCTAACAAGTAGTTTTGCTAAAAGATCCCTTTCTTTGGTTTCCCTCTCAAATGAGTCTGTGATCCAAAGAGAAATCATGGATGAATAGAATCCAGGCGAATTCAACTCCTTGATGCACAGAGTAACTTCTTTCTCATCTCTAGCACTGAAACCAAATTTGTCTTCCCTTTTTACTCAACGGCCACATAAGATCAAGCAATAATAAATAATATAACATATATTTCGACATCAATCATTCAACGCTTCCCTATGAATTTAAAGTTACACCTTTTTCAAAACCCTTACTAACAATCAAGGATGCAATGGAAGCACTTGGAATTAGCCTCTCTGAAGAAACATTATGTTTTGCCGAGCTTTAACCAGGACCATGTTCTAGGATATCGTTAAAATGGGTAACAAGTTACTTGTTCTTCACACTTCTTAGTTTTGAAAAATCCCATCTTAAGCAAGAAACTTCCAAGTGCAATTTACATGTTCTAGGATATTCCAATTTACATGTTCCTAATTTTTCACGTTAGCTCACAAACACTTATTCTATCCATGCAAATTAGATCAAGATCTTGAAGCAATATGGGACAGAAACTAGAAGCAACAAAGAAGTGAGACAATACCTGTAGTATTCCCTAATCGCTGCTACGGATTTTTCTCGTAGACGTTCTTCGGACATAACTTCAGAATGACCATTACGTGTCAAAGCTGGTTGCTCACGTTTGGTCGGCGAGATTGATTGAGACCTACCAAGACTGCTATCAATGTTTCCCGATTGTGTACATCCATTAATAGTACCAGGCTCCTGTGTGCTCGCTTGATCAGGAGATACTGAACCTGCAAATCCCTTTGACATATTATTTCTTACAGTGATACCCCCTCTGGAATTGGAAGTTGCATGCTCTGATACTGAGCCATGAGCTGTAATTCTTTGGGAGTTACCAGCAGCCGGCAAGGACACATCTGGTAATGAAGAGGATGAAACAGATCGTGGCCCTCTAATGGACATCCCTCTTGCTAAACTACCCTGTGGACCCAAAGTGATGGCATCATCACTAATAGGTCTTTGGTGCAATGGAGTTGGAAATGCCCTGGCTTCGGAAGATTGTTGTTTACCTTCAAAACGAGTGTCTTGACTGCTTGAACCACCAATCTGGGCATTGGGAGAAGGCAATAGTGCAGACGCTCTAAAACCAAAATCCATGGATGTTCCTCTTCTCAATGATGCATTGGTTCCAGGACCACGGCCTAATCTACTAGTTTGTGCTTGACGTTCTTGCACAGCGTCCCTGTGCACTTCATCAATTTTTTTGGGACCTTCGATTTTTCTCCTTTGTTGCCATTTGTTCTTTCTCAGATCAATTGCATCCTTCAACATGAATCTAACCCTTGATGACAACTTCATGTTATTTGATAATTCAGTCATCATCTCAAAATATGCATCCATGTGCTGCTTAGCTTTGGAGTGATCTATCATCTCTCCTATGGTGCTCATCAGTTTGCACAATGCTTCAATATCCTCCTCATCGGGATTTTGATATTGACCCAACAATTTCTTGATGCATACATGCATGATTTTCTCTGTTATCATCTTTTTTTTGTAAAGTTCCCCAATTAATCTGATGTTTCCTAGCATTCTTCTGCGCGCCTTTGTTCTCTTCGCTTCTTGTTCCTCTTCAGACTGTTTCGTCTCACCGACCTTATTAACGTTATCATTTTCTTCCTGCTCTCTCTCAAATTCCTCCTGGCACTTGTTTAAAAGCAACCTCTTGAAATTAATCTTCTGATTATCATCGCTAAAATCTGGTAAATCACCAGCCAGATGGAGACAAAAATTGGCATACATTTCACAGAAAGTGGGTTCCGTCAAAGCTTTGTCAAAGATCTGAGAGATGACACCAGTTAGTGTCTTAGCGCTATCAATATTAACTGCTTTCACTTGTTCAAAGAGTTTTGCAAAATTTTGTGGAGTTAGCTTGTTTAGTATAGCCTTCAGCTGCCTTTGTTTGGTCTCTTCCTCGTCAGCCACTTTACCCACTTCATATTTCTTCTCGGCTCTGTGCATCATCTGTAATGGAGTTGGAGGAGAAATTAAACCTTTCATCTGAAAGTTGGTATCTCTTTGCCACCTATCAGTACTGGAGCCATTTCTTTGAATCTTTCCCTGGGAACCTATGTGTGCCCTTGTGTTCTTTAAAGCACCACCGATAGCACCCTGGGTAGGTCGAGAGCCAGAATCAGCTAAATAAGCACTTTCCAGGTTTGAATTCCGCCCTGAAGCATCAACACCAATAGCACGATGGTCTAGTCGAGACCCTCCACTTGGCCTATCCATTTTTCCAAGATTAGCATATGAATTACTATTAACAGAACGAGAGCAACCGTTAATACTCATTAAAGTCTTCATACTGGGAGTAATTTCAAACCCATCGGGAAGGTCCATGAACTGCTCTGCAAAATTCAGGAGGAAATCTCTGGAGTACTTTTTGGCCATATCTCCACTCCCATCCTCGTGATGCAGTGCTACTTTTCCTTTGGCCTTGTCCTCAAAACCCTCGTAATTCCCAGAAGAAATATCAACTGCATCTTCCCAATCATCTGGCTCAAATTTACTCTGCTTGGTCAAGACAGCCTCTTCCTTAATGGAAGCAGCAGACTCGTGCTTCATATTTAAGCCTCCATTGGAGCTTTCAGCAGACATGACAGTCTCTTTCTTTTGTTCAGGTTCTTTGTATGCCATATAAAGGTCAGAAGTAGTCCCAGCAGCATCTGCCTTCTGAAGAATTTCCTTTCTCTTCTTCTTTCCTCTTGAAGACGTATTCCTCATCTTGTTTGTGTCCACAACAGGTTTATGCTTAGGATCACACTGCAAACCTGCATGCTCTATTCTATTTCCTTCATGCTTCATATCTGAGAGCTCAGACGTCGGCACAGGAGCCGACAGCAGATCAGCTCTGCCCACTTCAGTATTGTAGTTATTATTGCTTCCACAAGAAGGTGCAAGAATAAGTGAAATCTTATACCCATGAGTTGTAGAGTTAGAAAGAACGTTATTGTCTTGGGTACTGTCAACTTCTGCATGAAAATTCACAGTTTCATCCAATTTCCCCAGCGTTTCTGAGTTTGAGTAGCCATTATTAATTGCTGTTGACTTCATGAAAGATGGAGGTTTACTTTGTTCTATGTCATCTACAGAACCAGGCAATTTTCTCCTCCATACATTTTTTGTTCCAACGAGCTCATGCATTGATTGCTCAATTTGCAAAGGGGACTCCAGCTTAGAACAACAAATGGGATCTGAAATATCAACACTACACTCTGCACCAGAAACTTTATTTGAAGTGGGCGTGCCTCCCCTCTTGGCAGCATTTGATTTTGAAGCTTGAACAGTTTCAGAAACCTCACTGTATGGACGACTAGTATGATCTTGAGAAGCAAGGTCATGACTCACATGAAAGCCGACCTAAAATTAATCATGAACTTCACTTTATGAATGACAAAATAAGTAACAATAAAAAAGGATAAAAGAAAGAGAATGACAATCAGTAGGAATCGGAACAATAGGGTGAAAATACCTGATGCGGCAGTTGGATTGCTACATGCTTTGTTGCTGAGGAAGCAGAGATCACTCCATGAACTTGGACTTCTTTTACATTAGGTGAATTAGCAATTTGATGCACCAGGCTGCTCATACTATTACTATCAGGGAGTGAAATAGAAGCTCTGTGACTAATGAATGATACATGGGAAGGCTTCTGAATCTGGTTTAAGGGGGATCCTGAGGAGACTTGCATCTCCCTTTTGGTTTCAGGATCTGGATTGGATTTTCCACTATTAGGTTGACCACGGACGCTGGAATCATTTTTCTGTAATGGTTGCTTGGGTACTGGCAGTACAGACCCCGAAGGAACAGATTTGAACAAATGGCTTTGTGTCTGCAGGTAAGTTAGAGCAACGGATAAGAATAAAGGGACCGACCAAGAAAGACGAACAAGAACAGTAAGTAGCAACGAATAAATCATGTCAACAAACCAAGCATGAAACGAAGTGCAAAAATGCTAACATCTCAAGCTTAAGCCGTATACTGAAAAGACCATCCAAATGAAGTAGAGATGACCCAAGTACATGCCAGTAGTGTATAGATAGTTACTAAGATTTATGAGAGCCAGAACCAAACTCTCAAAAGATATATTTCAAGAGTACCAGCAACCATATATCAAGACAGCAACAGAAGTGGAGAATACTTATTCTAACCTGATTAAATTTCTGTTCAATCATATTTGGAGGAGCTGAGCAGGTTCTAGGAATCTGGAAAACCAAAGTAATAATCATCATATCAGATATAATCATATTGCTTACTAGCAGTAATTACACTGAAAGACTATAGCTACTATATATCATCAGCATTACTACATAATCATAGAATGGATGGAACACCTGGAAACCGGGACTTATGGATCCAAACTGAAGTGGAAATGCTATATGTTGTTCTCCCAAGTCTAGAACTTGAAAAACAACCATGGTTAGCATATCAACCAATTAAAAAGTACCATTAAACGAACCAAAATAAATCCCATCAAACACCATAACATGCATGAACACCTCTCTGTTTAAGTGTGGGAAATTTTGGCTCACCTTTAAAGGGCGTCGAGGGTGCCTTGGTATGAGAAGTTTTTGAGGTAGGTTTAGAAGTTGCATTATTTTGAGCAATTCCGCCATTGGATTCTGACAATGCATCAGAAGTTTTTGAGGTAGTTTGAGAAGTTGCATTCTTTTTTAAAATCCCGCTTTGGGATTCTGACAATTTTATTGGATTGGATGCTGAACCTGAAATAAGTGCATTAAACTCATATATTGCAAAATCATAACACAAAAGTGTATAAATAAAATATTATAAAATGCCTTGACAAAAAAAATATATCATAAGGAAAAAGGAACACTTATTGAAAGACAATATTCACATTGTACTATAAATCAAATTCTTATCTCTGACGTTAGAAAGCAATTGAATAGCTTCCATGAAAACGATATATGAAAAGTTCTTTTGTTTTTGCTTTTTTTTAACGCCTCTTAGTCATACCATTCAGCTGCGGCTGCACATGAGAACCATTTTGACCTCCCTGAGGCGTAGTAGAAATGGCAGAATTTACAGACGAAAAAACAGCCCTAGATTCCCGTGCGTGTTGTGTCTCGTTGGACTTCTTAACACTAAACCAAAGACGGAAAGTGAAAAAGAAAAATTATAAGAATTACAACCAAAAACAATACAGGAAATCAAAAAATTCCTAGAAGAGCGCCAGTAGCAGAGATCAAACCACAGAATTCATACAAAAGATATTTCCTAAGAACGTTCGAAAAAGAAGAAACAAAACACAATGCCATTCGTAACAAAAATGCAATGCGATTACCTGTGGTTGGAGACGATCGGCGTAGGACACCTTCCGGCAGCGCTCGGCTTAGAATGAAATCCATGAGAGATTCTCTGCTGATTTAAGCTCGATGATCGCGCGGATTTCTTAAACTGAGGATCCTCATTGTTATCAAGCCTTGATTGATCGAAAGACATATATACCAATCCCTTACCTGCCAATGTATGTCAAGAATTCTGTGCGGAAATTACCTTCAGTTGTTCTTTCCTGTGCAATTAGACGCAGCCGAAAACACCATCAATAATCAGAATGAAAAGTTGGAAGCAACCGCGCAATGGCGTCGAAGAGAATGCAAGAATGAAGGAATGAGCAATACATAAATGGTGAATGAATGATCTACGCTGGTAAGAGAGACGGCGAAGAATCTCCGGAGTGGCAGTGAATGTGATAGCTGGAATTTTCCCGAGAAAAATGGAGAATGTGGGGATGGCGAGAATCGCAAGTCTGGTTGGGCCAACTATGGAGGATCATGAGAGAGAGAGAGAGGACAGGTAGAGTGAGAAAGGCGGCAAACCAAATAAGAGAGGGAGAGGTCAAAATGGGTCAGCTTTTCCAGCCGATTCAAAACCGATTTTAATTTTTTAAATTAAAAAATAATTATATATATATTGTATTACATGAATATGAGTAATATTCCAACCTATAAATTTTCGTCCGAAAATATATACTTTGTTGATTGGAGATACATGTAAATAACCGTTAAACAATACTCACTTTGACATACTTTATTGATTGATTGAGCTAGGTTCGTATTAGCCATCAATGCTAATATTTAAAATCTTGATTATATTATGGATTTTTTTAGTACAAGAGTGGGATCAAACTATGTGAAAAATAATAGACTAAATTATGAAAAAAAAATACTCATTTGTTTAGAAAAAAATATTCTTATCGTTTCAAAAGTTTTAATATTATTTTTGACCTTTCATAAAGGTTCAAATATGCTATTGAGATAAATATATGTTATTTTTTAAACGAAAATTTGATGCGGCGGACTCTAAGACGATGGGGCAACTAACTAAGTTGCTTCTCTATTGAAATTAAAGGTTCGTATTGCCAATTTTGTCCTATAAATTAAATATTCTTTCTCTACTGTGTATCAAATATTGCCATAATTCTCCTTTTAAAAATATAATATTTTCTTTCACATTTCATGAAGTCTAACAAAATCATGACAATTTATAAATTAATTTAAATGCCAAATATCACTTATTTATAAATTAACTTAAATGTTAAATATCACTTTATAACTAAATCAATCTATTTTTCTTCTAAACAAATATAATTGTTTAATAACTTTTTAAATTTTAAAATTGTAAGTATTTTTTTAAATATGTATATTAAATACGATTTTCAATTTTTCAAAAACATCTTGAGAAGTAACAATTGATGGTTCGTTGCTCATGATAATGACAGCGTGAGAATGTGTCAATTAATTTATTTTAAAATATTTAGTTACAAATATAATATTTTAAAATTTTGACAGGACAAAACAAGGATCAACAAATATCATTAAAATAAATAAATATATTAGATAATTTGAACATAGTTCAATTGGTTAAGATATCTCTCCCACCAAAAAGTTGTAAATTCCAATCCTCACTCTACATATTATACTAAAAAAAGAATTTACTTGATTGTATTAATCTAAATCTCGGTTATCAATTAAATAAAACAATAGTTACTATCAAAAATAAAAATAACAAATTTATCGTAAAAAATAACTGTATGTGCATTTTTATGTGTCATAAAAAAATAATTTACAAATATTTGTTTAAAAATGGACAATCCAATTAAATTCTCCTTATTTTAAATGGTGTTGAATAGAAATTTCATTTCTTAAAGTACATTTATTTAATAAATAAATAACGGTGCAATTTGTTTTGAAAATTCAAGTCAATTAAAAGAAAAGAAGTTCTTTCATTTAAAAATTCTCGTAGGAATTAGGATATATACCGAATAACGAAATAGTTATAAAACAAACTTGATTCCATTTGAGAAAATATAAAGAAGAGATCCATGTATGGATTCTAATCATTATCTTACTAAATAAGTAAAAATATCTTTAATTATTATTGCATTTTGTTCTATTTACAAAATTTATGATATTATTTTTGAAATATAATACTATAAATAAGAAAGAATCAAATATAATGCACATAAGGAATTATAATACCCTCACCAGTAAAGCTAAAGCTATGTTTGGACTTTGGATAAGTCCTTATATTAATATAAAATAAATTATTCTATGTTATAATGTGTTTTAAAACTCTACCTATTGTTTTACAAATGTTTTTCTGCATCTACTTACTTATAATAATAATAATAATAATAATAATAATAATAATAATAATAATAATAATAATAATAATAATAATAATAATAATAATAACACTTAAAAATTTCAAAATAATAGTACAATTAAAGGAGTGAATGAAAATTATTATTTTTTATTTGCCACTTAAAAATTTTAAAATTATAGTAAAATTAAAGGGATGAATGCACTAATAATGGAATTGCAAATTATTTCACAGTTTAAAAATGATTATTCATCTTGATGATGAGGGAAAAGAAAAGGTATTTTTTATTCTGGTTAAAATAATCATTTACAATGCATTTAAAATTACATTAAACTAAAAATGTGTAGTATTTAATTTTTATTTAAAATATTTTGACATATTAGTCATATTTGATAGAATATTGTACGAATGGTGAAAATGATCGAGTCAAATTGAAGATGAATGATAAGAAAATGTCAAAATTTTAATTTTGAAAAAATGTGACAACTTGCCAATGATATCATATGCCAAACAAGTCTTGACTATGCAAATTTAAAAGAAGTTGGTAAAGAAATTATGTAAATTTAGAAGAGTATGATGTAGAAATTGTGTGAGAAAAGGAGAAAAATTAATTCCCATTTGCCATGAACAAAACATTTATTATTCTCTCTGGAATGATGTTCAATTTGAAACATTCTTTAAAAAAAAATTTAAAAAAAAGTCCAAATTAAAAAATGGGAAAAAAGTACACTTTAAACAAACTACCATAAAAGTTTAAAGGAAAAAAAAAAGACACTTTATATAATCAACAATAAAGTTTAAAAGAAAAAGAAAAGAAATAATACACTTTCAATAATCTATCACAAAAGTTTTTGGAGAAAATTGGAGAGTCAAACAAATTAATTTAATTTAATTTGCTGATGATAATTATTCGACTTAAGACATTAATCATTTTTCTAAAAAATCATTTTTTATTTTAATTATTTAAAATGGAGTTATGCTTAGTATTAAATGATTTTCATTGTGTATAAAAATTGGGTTAAATTTTACAAATAAATATTAAAATAATAACTTTTTAAAAGTATAGATAACAAAATAGACATTTTGAAATCAAACAAAATTTTAAAATATATGAAAAAATAAATATTTTGAAAATAATATACCAATAGAACTAAAAGTTAGAAGTAAAAAATAATTGTACTAAAAAAATGTTAGAATTGTACTAATAAAAATAGTATTTAAATGTTTTTTTTTTTAATTTAAAACATTGTTTTGGAATGAAACAAAGTCAAAGCGAACATTGTCAACCAAAATAAAATAATGGTCAAAGTCAACGATGAAATATTTTTTGTTCTTTATTACTTTCTCAACTGTCACCGTCAGAAAACCTGGCAACTTTGCTGTTGATTTGAAATCTGCCTCAAACTTGTAAGTATATTACTAAATTATCCTAATTAACACTGTATTAGATGTATGCTTATGGAAAATAATTTCAAGGGTAATAATGGGATTTTAGTGTTTAATTTGAAATGAATATTTAAATGACCGATCTTGGAATGAAAATTATAATTGTGTATATATGATATACTAGGTCATCTCTTGACTTTAAAACAAATTTTGATGGACCTATTTGTCGTAAATTTTGTTTAAAGAAAATATATTATTAATTCACACATATCTTAATCGTCTGAAGTATATAAATTAGCAAAACTTTTATATTTAATTTTGTTTTACTAAACTGTCCTATATGAAATTTCAGTTGATAATTATTTTAATTCTTAAATTTTGTATAAAAAAAAGTTATTTTAATTAGTGTGGTTAAATCTGAAGACGTTTTGATTGGCAACAACATTTTGTTTATATAATTATTAATTAAAATGGATAAAAAAAATTTATTGTTTGTTTTAAGTTCACGTGAGAATTCAAAATTTGGACGTCAGGTAAAAGTATATATTCATGTTAGAATTATATTTCTAACTTATTATTATTATTATTATATTCGAAATATTACCTTTATAAATTTTAATTTTCTAGATAAGTTACCCTAGAAGTAATTTTATAAAAACGATATTGCAAAAGGTCAAAAGGATTAACTAAAAACACTTTTAAAAATTATTAAACTAAACATCAAAGTAATTTATCTCTAGATAATTTTTATACAGTAAAAAATCTGATAATTAAAATATTTGTTTAAAAACATTCTATTTACTACTTCAAATTTCGATGGATTTCAAGTGAATTCCATTGTTTGAATTTTGAATAATTTGAAATCTTATCGGATTTCAAATATTATTTTTATGCAGGAAGAAAAAAATTCAGATCGAAATGGTCGAGTTTGGCAAGATTTCATACTTGATAAAGAATTTAAAATCATTTCTCAAATTTCAAGTTATTTTAAAAATATTCTCAAAACATACCTATTCTATTTTCCACATGGGCAAAACAGAGGAGAAAAATCTATAGTAGTACTACAGTAATATAAATAATATCTTATAAATATTTCATTACATCCCCATTGAAGAATGTTTATTATTATTATTTTTTTCTAGTACAACTACAACCCCATTGAAGAATGTTATCAGAGATAAAAAAATAATAATAATAATAAATAAATATATATATATATATATATTTTTTTTAGGAATCAAACAAAATTAGAAAATCTCGAAACAGAGCAAATCCCAATGGCCAAGAAAGTGACAGTTGATAGAGAGACCAGAACAGAAGCCATCTGCGTCTAGAAGATGGTTGGCAGTTGAGTCCACGAGCCAACTCAGGCGAGTCACACACAGAAACAGACCCAATTTTTGCGTATTTGAATTGCTTTTATTTCTCCTTTTTTCTATTCCGGCATTGAATTCAACCCACCCACCGAACTTCACGAGACAATCAAGACTTGTACAAACAAACAACAACTACTGAGCAAACCCATAATTTGGACTCGCTTGGATTCTGAAACTCCAAGCCAAACCAGACCCAAATCAGTCTTTTCCCTTGATCCCATCAGGGTCTTGCCTTGGAGAAGAAGAAGCAGCAGCAGGACAACTCAGAAAAAGAATGCTCCCCAAGTTTCCTTCCAACTTCAAACCTGTGCTTGCCAAATTTTTGTTTGGACTGTCCCAAGCAAGGACCGAGGGATCAATCACAGAGTCTCATTTGCCGCTTTTTTTGTCTGCTTTTTGATCACAACTTGTACCAAACAAGTCTCTGCTCCATTCTCTTCTTTTGTCTCCTCCTTGTTTTCCCCATTTTCTCTTCTTCTTCTTCTTCCCTGTTCCCCCTTTGGAGTTTTGCTCGATCGACCTGACATCGAGATTTTTCGTGTCGTCTTTCTTGTGTCTGTTCTCTCCTCTGTATTTGCTTGTATCTGTCTATAAGAAGTTGTGTTTTCAGCTGTTGTTTTGAGACCAGAACAAACGGCTGAAACGTTTGCATTTTTAGAGGCTCAAGATAACATCTGGGAACTCACCTATTTCCAGAGCATCATATAGAAAATGAAGTGCTTCTTCCACTTCAGGGGCAAGTCCAGGAGCAGGCATCAAAGATCAGCACCAGATTTGAACTCTGACTTTTCGGGGTGTAGTCGGGCCGCTAATTCGTCGTGCTCTCTGACCTCTCCTCGGAGTTTACCTGAATTGTATGAAGAGAAAGCACATAATTTGAGAGTGTTCTCATTTGCAGAGCTGAGACAGGCAACGCATGACTTCAACAGGCTTCTTAAGATTGGACAAGGAGGATTTGGGAGTGTCTTTAAGGGCTCAATTAAGCCTGTTGATGGGCAGGGAGATGTTATTGTTGCTATCAAGCAACTGAGCAAGGATGGCTTACAGGTATGGACACTGGCCTTAGAAAAGCAGTCCTAAAGGTTTGTTTGGATGTTTTGCTTTGGGTTTCTTGGGTGAACTTCTTCTCTCTGTTGGAGATGTTTACTAGGTGATTTCTTTGCATCTAGTAGAAAATATCATTGCAATTATCTTTTTAAGTTTTAAACACATGGAAAAGAATGATAAGCATGCAAAATGGAAAGGAAGTTGTTTCCTTTGTATGTGATGCAAATTTCTGAAGGAAGTGAATTTTCTACATACCGTCTCTTTTCTGCGAATAGGGACACAAGCAGTGGCTGGCAGAAGTTCAATTTCTTGGAATTGTGGAGCATCCAAATCTGGTCAAACTCATAGGATACTGTGCTCTGGATGGAGCAAGAGGAATTCAAAGACTGCTTGTATATGAATATATGCCAAACAGAAGCTTGGAAGATCATCTCTTCAATAAGGCACTTCCACCGCTCGCTTGGAAAACGAGACTGCTGATAGCACTCGGAGCAGCTCAGGGATTGGCTTACCTGCATGAAGGATTGGAAGTTCAGGTTCCATTTCCTCTCAAATAGAATCAAATGTGTGGGTGTGTGTACTTGTATGTCTGCAAATAAGAAAATTATACACAAAACAAACCACCATTTTGTGGAACTTATTCCATTCTTCCAAACTTCCATGACTATTAAATTTAGTTTCATCTCCTATAACGGTACAGATAATATACAGAGACTTCAAGAGCTCAAATGTGTTACTGGATGAGAATTTTCATCCAAAGCTTTCAGATTTTGGGCTTGCCAGGGAAGGGCCAGAAGTTGGGCATACTCATGTTTCGACAGCAGTAAGTGTTCTTGTTCTCCTTCCCCTCTAATCACTCTCAGGCTGTATTTTCTGCTTACAGTGAACTCTACAATGTGTACAACACAGGTAATGGGGACTAATGGATATGCAGCTCCAGACTACATCGAGACGGGTCATCTCACAGCAAAAAGTGATGTGTGGAGTTTCGGTGTTGTCCTTTATGAGATTCTGACGGGAAGGCGATCATTGGAGAGACAACTTCCAAGATCAGAGCAAAAACTTGTGGAATGGGTTAAACATTTCAATCCTGACAGCAGAAAGTTCAGGTCAATAATAGATCATCGACTTGAAAACCAGTATCCTATCAATGCAGCTAGAGAAGTAGCTAAACTGGCAGATACTTGCCTGGCAAAGAATGCAAAGGATAGGCCTTCAATGGCTAAGGTAGTAAACAGATTGATGCAGATCATCGAAGCTGTGGATGACAGAGAACCTTGCGAGGGAAGTCCCGACTCCTCCGACGAAGCTGACATGGTAAGAGAGCCAGAAAAAATGGAGGCACCAGAGTCATGGAGAAGGCGGATGAGCCACCTGCAGAAACTGGGAGAGCATGTGGAGGGTGCAAGTAGAAGAAGATTTATGATAATGCAAAGAGCAAAAGTGCCTTGAAACTTTGGTTTCACACTTTCAGGATCATATTTTGGTACATAGTCTATGCTGTAGTCTTGAAAGCAAAGAAACGGAATAGAATAGAATGTCAATCGAGAATTTGAAGTAGAAATGTTGAGGCAAACATATGACACACAATAGAAATTCTGCTGCAGGAGGTGAACAGTAGCCAATGTAAATAGTCTATTTTGAGTTATTTTATTCTATTGATTTAAATGTTTCGGTTGGGGCCCAGAAAATAAACACGATGAGATCTATCATAAAGATATAGATACTGACTGGATAGGGTGGGGCGGCTTACATCTTCATCCACTTGAAACTCGGGTATGGTAAAGGCGGAAAGATACAGGTCTCTGCAAGGATTTCTCACAATATTTAAACATCATTATTCTAATTGTTAATTAGCACTAAATATTAATTAAATATCTACTTAGTCAAGATGATAGTGAGAGATGAATGTATCCCACTTTTTCCTCCTCAAACTCCCTTTCTTTAAATAAATGTGAGTGTCAAGTTAACTTACACCAAGTTGACTAATCCCTCTGCTTTCATTCTCAAAACCCAGAAATTTCTCCATTTCGCTATGGTTCTAGGGAAGAAACCATGATTGACATCTATAATCTCGCAACTCCATTATTATTATCATTCTATTCGTTGTTTTCATTATTACTTTTTTGGTTTAGATACTCCTCTGGTCCCTATAATTTTGACTTTGGTTCATTTTGATTCCTGTACTTTCAAAACGTCTATTCAACATTTATTCCATTTGTCTCCGTTCCGGACGGAATGTTGATTTTGATCTCTATACTTTAAAGAGTGACCATTTTGGAACCTTAATTTTCACTTTTTATCTTATTTATTTCAAGATCAAAATTTTAGCCTGACATTTTATTCACTAAATTTCTTGAAATGTAGCCATAAATTTGAATTAAATGAATTTCATTGTGTATAAACTTTGTATTTAAAATTATGCAAATAAGGATCAAAATGGTAACTTTTAGTATAAGAACCAAAATGGACACTCTAATAATACAAGAACTAAAAAAGTTGAAAGTATAGAAATCAAGATGAACAAAAGTCTGAAAGTACATAGACCCAAATAGTATTTAAACCTTTTTTTTAATTTATAAAATAAAAATAACCCAAAAAAACAACTTTCTGTTACATCACTCAATTTCCACCCTATATGATATCTAACCTCTAGGCTCTAAGTCTCTTTGTCGCTGGCGATTTGGGACTAAAAGTCATTCACGTAGGCAGCATAAGTTGAAATCAATCAATAAACCAAATACATACATCAAAGGGGCAAATAAGTAATAAGTGTTAAGACCAAGTAAAAGAACATTCAATGACGAACTTTCGTTGCCATAGGAATTCTTCAATGTGTTAACCGAGTAAAAAGATATAACTACTGTGCAGGCGTTATAGGGATCCAACATATACAATTACAGTGTTAAATTATACACCCAGCCACAGAATAATGTAATACCTATGCAACATCAGAGGTCCTAAAAATCACACATCATGGTTGCCTACAAAGCCATAAAAAATGCAAAAGCACAGGATGAATTGGACTTTTTCCTACTCAAGACAAGTTTTTTCATATTATTACCTCAAAGGATGAATCCTCCCGGAATATTCTTCTCTTTGTTGATGTATCAGGAACTTCCAGACAGACGAACTTGATTCAATTGTCGTTCAGCTGCTCTAACTACTTTGAGTACAACAGATTTCACTCTTGGCTTGACGCTCCATTAAGTCTAATTTTACTGGAATAGCAATACAACTTCAAGTGTTTGTATAAATTCACGTGCCATTATCAAATTACAAAAATGTTGCATAAGGAGCCGCAGTGCACTAAAATGCTCTTATTAATGATCCTACAGTCTGACAGTATTTAGAGTTCCTCAAACAATGTAATGTTCCAAGCCTTGTAAATCCTTGACCAAACCATCTCAACTAAGGGCACAAAAGTTGGCATAATCTGAATTTTATAGTTCAACCATCATACACCCTGATCGGGTTCTGATTCTTTCTATTTTCATTATTGGCCTTAAGAACGTTAGGCACTCCCTGATTTTTGTTTAATCATGATAAATATGTGCAAACCAACAGGAGAGGCCGCAGCTAGTTGAGCTTTCTATCAGTACATTTTACATCTAGGTAGAACACATCTATAATTTAGAGGACCGCAGACCACCAGATTTCCTTGATATCTGAATCCCCACCTACCTTATGCATGCAAGCAAGAAGAAGTGAAGTAAATGGAATCATCAAAAATCCTACTGCTGCTCCCAGCAAAATAATAGTAAATACATTCCCTGACAATGCATTTCTGGAATAATCATTATGCTAGGTGACCCTCCTGAAAGAATAGAATTAGAGATAAAAGTTTATACTTCAATCAACCTATTGAACCGACTGAAACTAGTTTCAAAAGTTGAGTTCTCGTCTTCTTCTCTTGAAGGTTTAGTTCTACAAAAATAATCATAAGTAATATACATGAGGAAATCCATAAAGACGCTTTTCTCATATGATGTATTTATAACCTCACCACCTTCTTGTATAATACGGTTGGCCCAGTTCATTATTTTATAAGTCGTTTCATCAAAATCAACATGAATCTCACTCAACTTCTGACCCCAAAATATGGCTTTCTCTGGCATCCCTTGCTTACAAAATTGAGACAATAATACATTTGCTGTCACGGTGTTTGGAACAAACGCCATCTTAAGCAATTTTGCAGTTAAAACCATAGCATGATCCAGGATGACATTACAAACAGCATTAACCATAGTATTGTATGTTACAGTATTCGGAACAATGCCTGCTGCGATAAGCTCCTCCAGTATCATCACAGCCCGGTTGATTTTCCAGGTAGTGCAGAAACCATGGATCCGGATATTATATGTCATGATATCAGGTTGCCACCCACTATCTGACATTTTCTTCACTAAATCATCTGCACCACCCATGTCAAATGATTTACAGTAACCATCAATCAATGTGTTGTAAGTAACAATATCAGGAGATAAACCAACCCTATACATGTCCATGAATGTCTCAAATGCTAACTTCATCCTACCTTGTTTGCATAACCCACCAATTATCATATTCGTTGTAAAAATATCTGGAAGAAGGCCCCTTTTCGTCATTTCTCTCTCCAACTTCAGGGCTTCATTTAGTTTTCCCACTTTACAGAATCCACCAATCAAGGAATTGTACACAAAATTATTTGGCACGAACCCTTTTCTTAACATCTCAGAGAATACATCATAAGCATCCTCCATAAAACCAGATATACAGAACCCATTAATAAAAGCTGCAAAAGCAACAGCATCTGGGAACACCCCCCTACACTTCATCTCATTCCACAGACTTTCAGCCGTATTAACATCCCCTATCCTGAAGTACCCATCCAAAAGAACTGTAAAAGCCATGTTATTGATAGGGAATCCTTTCTCTATCATGTCATATAAAACTATCCTTGCTTCATCAAGGCTCCCCTTCCTAGCTAAGCTGATAAGCAAGGAGCTACATGTGGAAGATGAAGGAGTTAGACCAAATTTTGCCATTGTACCATAGGCATAAAATGCCCTCCCTTCTAAACCTACATGGCTGTATGCTGCAATAACAGAATTAAAAGCAACCACACTTGGCGGAATTCCTTTCTCAAGTAAATCCTCTAAAAACTTCATGGCTTCATCATATCTACCTGCCCAGCACAGCCCTGCGATAATTACATCACATAGTGAAGAATCGGGAAGCAACCCAGATACAGATAAATCCCTTAATAATCTATCCCCATCCTCCTCCTTTCCATATCTGTAATGGCCTGCAACCAATATATTAAAAGTAATGCCATCTGGAACTATAGCCTTGGTCCTCATTTCTTCAAATAGCAAGTTTGCTTGGCCAATGTCTCTTGCCTTGACATACCCACTTATCATGCTATTATAGACAATAGTATTTTGAGAAAGACCCATATCTTCAATTTCATCAAAAATCTTCCTAGCTAACTCCACATTTCCCTCCTTGCAGAAGGCATTGATGACGGTACTGAATGTAACAGTACTAGGTTTACATCCATTTGCAATCATCAAATTCACCCAATGAAGTGCATCTGATGACTGCCCTTCTAAACAATTTGCATTTATCAACATATTATATGCATAAACATCTGGTTCACACCTAAATTTTCTCATTACATGCAATAGACCTTCTCCAATCCTACTACAACCTTTTCTACAAAACCCACGAATCATTACGTTAAACATATAATTATTTGGGCGAGGTCCCTTTCGAACTACGTCTCTAAACAATTTCCATACAGCACCATAATCACCAACTCTAAGCAGAAGGCTGAAAAGAATCGAAATGGCCGACACACTTGGTATCACTCCCACCTCCCGCATCTTACTCAATATTTCTAACGCCTCCAAATGCATTTCTGACTTCATAAACGCCCGCATAAGAGTGTTCAAAACTGAAAAGTCAGACTCGTAATCACAGTGACCTTCCCACATAAACGCCGCCAAATTGCTACACCTTCCCGGACCAACTCTTGCAACTATCCACGAAACAATATCTTGTGCGAGAGAACGAAGTCGTTCAGCTGCTAAGAGACGCGCCACTATAAAGCAAGACCTAACAGTCTCTTCAGAATCATCCTTAAATGCTAGTTTGAAGAACGCAAACGCGGTTTCCCGGCATTCAAACAATTTCATAATCTTAACCAATAAAAACGGGCAGAAAGTTCTCGAAAATCCCTTCAATGCGTATCCCTGATACAGCTTAATCGCTTTTGATAACGCAACGGTGACCATACGCCGGTCATTTTTAGTCACGTAACTCAGCGAGATCAATTTCAAAGCACCATCCTTACATGGCAAAAATTGAGCTAAGTAATCAAAATCATGAGTATCCGAATGCGAAGACGAAGAACAGTACTCGTCTGACAATTTGGGGATTAGGGTTTGGGATGGGCACAGAGAAGAAGGCCAGTGTACCTTAAGAGAGCTGTGCAGGCGACGCACATTAACAAACATTGGAAGGAGGCGCAGCTTCGAAGAGCTTAAGACTTACATTCTAAATCGGAGTTTGATCGGAGATTACTCGCCGGACGGCGAGCTGCAGAAGCGTAAATGGCGGCAGCAGAGGCGGGAAAGAACCGAGAGCGGGGACAAGTACAGTCAGCAGGAGACGATATTTTGACAAACGGGCAGTTTTTGCGTGTGGAATGGGCCTGACGATGTTACAATTTGGGCCGCCATTTGGGCTTTTTGTTCATGAAAGGAGAAGTTCGTGTTCCAGAAAATGGGCTGTTCAAATTTTAAAAAAGCCCAATAAAAATACGCTTGGGCCGGATTAGAAAAATCCGAAATATAATCAAAGATTATAATAAATAGCAATATCAGGTCATACATGTAGCCATTTTAAAATAAAAATTAATTAGAAAATAGCCAATTGAAAGCTTTGGTACGATGGTAAGTCATTAGTCTATCCTCGCAAATTTACGATCTACAAATCATACGTGTTGATTGGAGAATAATTTAGCAGATAGAATATTTATTATTATTAATAAGGTTGATATAAATATATGAAAATTTTGTTATTTAATTGTTTTTTTTTTCATGATGCAACGTCCTAATCTTTTAAGTTTAGGAAATAGTTAGAAAAAAACAAATCTTGACAATAAAATTTATTAATTGTATCTTATGCATTTGATTGAGTGATTTTTATTTTTATTCTCACAATCTCTTCAAGCCTTTCTCCTTCTGTCTTTTTCAAAAAAATAAAAAAGAAAAAAAAAAGCTTTCTCCTTTTGTCATGGTGAAATTACTTGTGTTTCTTCTGCTTTAATTTAATTTTATTCGCAAACTCTTTTACCGTCAATCAGATTTTTCTTTTCTTTTTTGTGGATCGAGAATATTTGTTTGCATAATATATTATGACATTGACTATTTGTTTGAGTTGATGTGTAAAAAGTAAATAAATATACTCCCAACTTACCTTTACTCCTTTTTTTTCATATTTCAAACCCAACTCAATTCGATTTATCTCGAATATATAATAAAAGCTCACTTTATTTGACGATAAAAAATATGTATATATTGGAGTCAAGTTATCACCTGCCATATGTTAACATCGAAGGTCATTATTCATCCTAATGAAGGGTAGAATTTGATAAATCTTACCATTCAAACAATTTCAAGCAACTCGATAAGGCAAGTCAAGTCAAGCGACGTTTTGCTTATTGACCGACCTTCTCAAAGGACGAGCCGACCTTGAAGAGCACATTCAGGCACAAAGCACTAGACATAATCTTTGACAGAGCGTTGCAATGCTCGGGTAGTCGGATGCTCCTGACGATCGTAGGGTCGTTGGACTACTGTCGTAAGCTCGCCTCTATAAATAGAGATCACAATCTCTCACACAACGAATGCAAAACTATATTATCTATTGAGTATAGATCGGATAAGTAATGACTAGAGCGTTGAGTGCTAACTATGTTTTCTAGATCCATCTGTTCATGAGTATCAAGAATTTGTGAAGAAATGTGATCATTTTTTTTGATAAAATAATATTATTTTTTTGTTTTTTCCCCTCTACCACCAATTTTTTATTGCTACCCTATTAACCTTGTTAATTTTAAAAGTAAAAAATTAGATTGAAAAGGCCTAGAGAAACAGATATTGCAAAGCAACACAATATCCTTTACAAACGTATAAATGCTAAATTTTGTTGTTTATCCATACTTGTACTCGTATGTGTATGTCTGCACCAGGCGTATATGTATATATACGCACAGACTAAACTCTTAGTATAATAAATTTTGAATTTATTCTAATTTAAATTTGACTGAATGGATAGGACGTATGATGTAGATTTAACTTCTTATAATCGTTAAACTTTAAAACAAAATTTGAGATTTATTTAAATTTGTTTGAGTATATCTTTTTAATTTTTGTTCTTATAATGAAAAGTAACAGTTGAGATAAATATGAACTTTCCATTTATATATTTTTTAAATATCAAAATTTGCCATTTTAATCCATTGTTCCATCCGATATTTTTAAATTTCGCGTTGAACGTAAACAAAAATTTCAATTTCCATGACCAAATCGAGCATAGTAAATGGTCAACACACTTTATCTCTAATTAAAAAATCAGATCCTGAGTTCGATTCTCGTCTCTTATATAAAAAAAATAAAAATCAATTACCATAGTTTTTCTAACAATCAAATCAAGCTGTGTCAGACAAAAAATAAAAACAAATTAAATAAGGCTTATCAAATAAATCTATAATTTTTTTTCGAGTACAAGTACAACTAATGAATCTAACATTTTCCTCAACTTTTTCACAAAATCAATCTCAAATTCCATATTTTATTTTTCTTTTTAATTAAAAAGTAAAGTAACATTTTAGATAAATACGAACTCTCTATTTATATATTTATTAAATATCAAGATTCGCTATTTGTTTCGTATTCAATATTTTCAAATTTTAACTACGAACGGAGACAAATTTAATTACATGGTTGTTTTCTAACATCAATTTTGTTTTTCCTTCGAAGACATTAAATAAAACTTAAAGAATGCATTATTAATGGAATCTATAATTTATTGAATTCTCGTAAATTAGTTCTAACATTTTATAATAACCATTTCACAATTTTCCTATTTTATTTTAGTTTATTTTTATTTCACGACCGATTTATGCGACAATCTCAACAATCAAAATTTATGGGCAGAAAAAAAATTGGGAAAAAAAAGTGATTGTCTCTCTCAAAAATGAGTATTTTGTTTTCGTTTTCGTTTTTTCGTTTTTTTTTTTCGTTTTGTTTTTTCAAGAGAAACTACAGAAAAAACCACCCAATCTCAGGATGCTCTTTCCCATGATTTTTATCCGAATATGTTCAGAGATCAAAAACTTATTTACCGAATCTCTTTTTTTTTTTGATCTCTCTGAAAATCGAGTCCTTGAGCTGGTAATGGAAATTCATTATCAGCATCCACTCCACTCTACAAATTTCTTTTTCCAAATTGGGAAAGGTCTCTCTCTCTCTCTCTCTCTCTCTCTCTCTCTCTCTGTAGATGAAAAATTTTATGCTTCAAACTGAAGATCTCAGGCCACCGCGACGGTGCCGGACCGTACAGTTTTCTTGCTAGATTCTGGTTTTCTGTGAGTTTGAGTGGTTGAAGAAGAGGAGGAGGAAGAAGAAGAAGAAGAAGAAGAAGAAGAAGAACGTCTCCAGCTTTTCTCCTTCGCTTCGTCGATTTCAATCTGTTCTTGCCGGCACTCTTTGCTACAAAACGGAGTGTTCCCCCTGCAATACAGAAAACAGAGAATAAGTTTCAATTCTCCGATCAAAACCTCAAAATCAAAACAAACAGAGCACAGATCGATCCGATCTAAGCATAATTGAAACCTAAACAGCACTTTCCATCACTTTAAAAAAAAACGACCACATAAATTCCGATCTAAGCCTAATTCAGCGATTCTGAAGCCTCAATTTCTCAGCAAGCAAGCAGAAAACTCGCGATTAAAACTCGACAAAAACACAGACTCTCCAGGTCATGAAAGATTGAACGCACCTGTACATGAAGATATCGGAGTTGCGTCCGAGAGGTTTCCGGCAAAGGGAACAGGCTTCGAGGAAGTGAGGCTCAGGGAGGAGGTAATCGGCGCAGCCGGCGTAGAAGAGCGGCGCAGTCCTCATAGTGGAAAGAAGGCGAAGAAACTTGAAAGTTCGCAAAAATTCGCCGGAACCGGCAAGAATTTTGGAGCTTAGGGCAAAGCTTGGAAGAAGAAATTGCGAGGAAATGGGCGACCAGGGGGAGAAGAACGCTGGGCTATTTGGCTCCATTTATAATTGCTTTGCCGGAGCTGGTATTTAATCAGCTGCTTCGCGGACTATTATAGTGAAAACTCTCTCTCTCTCGTAAGGAGAACCAGCCAAGCTTTATCCCTCTCTCTCTCTCTCGACGTGTATGATTTAGCTTATGTGCGACATTATAGCGGCAATGGTATGGTTGAAGTATATTATAATGAAAATATTTATCTAGCTCAACGAATTAAGGTACGTTGGATAGAATTTTTTTCCATGTGTTGTAAAAAAAATTCAATAGTAATAAATAAAAAAACACTAAAATATTAGGATTAAAATATATATGTGAATGTTTTTTTTTCTTTCTTGAAAACAGAAATGAAATTTCATTTAATTTCTATTATTTTAGACTTAGAAACTTTGACGTTAATTGTTTTTTTTTTACAACATCTGTGTGGTGTGAATTCAAATTTGTGAACTTTTTGTCGGGTATAAATACTTTGACCAATTAAACTATATTCTAATTAGCTAAACTATTTTATTATTGATTATTTCTATGGTTGTAATTTAAACATCGATTTCTGAAATATTGATGGGTTGTTGTTGCAATTAATTATTTTTACAGTAATTATAGTTGAATGAAATCACATCAATATATTTTACCATGTATTATTATTATTTCATAAAGTACGTCCTAAATTTTAAATTATTCATATATTTATATTGGTGTCATTAACACTAATTAATAAGACATTGAAGTGAAGTGGCACGTTCATTATGTTAAATTTCAATTGAGTTTACACAATATTGTGGATAAACAAACTGATAAGATTTTTGTTAAGGAGTTTAATAATAATTTATAAATAAACGCATAATTTAAAATTTAAATTATAAATAGAAACAATATTTATAATTCATACATAAACTTTATAACTTAACCTATCAAGTTTTTTTTTTTTTGGAATATCAAATATAAAAGCAGGCATACGAACTTACGACCTATAAAAATATAATTATTTAATCATTGCTCAAGGTACCCCTCCCAATGTATTTGGAAATAGTACTCGGATGTCAAATTTTTATATTTCCGTAAGTTACCTCTCAAAATTTAACCCCTCATTATATTTGTGTGAAACAACGAAAGAAAAAAAAGAGAAATTTCATTTTTCACGTTTTATATTCCTCCCTCTCGTAGGTTTAAAACATTTATTAGTTAGTTAAGAAGATATAGAAGTACAAAAACGAGTCAATATAAGCATAGTTCGACCGTTAATGTATCTTGTTCCTTCCTAAAAGATTAATCTTCTATCCCTAGATTTGTTGTAGTAAAAAATAAAAAGAAAAAAAGATAGAAAAATGATTTGATTGGTTGAAATTGCGTGGGTTTGGGTAGACCGCGGAGTATGGGATAGTAACCCTAAGAAAATCCAAGAAGATGGTTTTCAAATGGGTGGTTTTGCTGTTCCGTGGTGAAAATCTATTGGCTGCAAGTGCATGCATCCCTTTCCCAAACCAA